TTTTTTTTTTTTTTTTTTTTTCCCTCCTCCCCCCCCCTTCAATAAATGTTTCTTTGTTTTCCAGTTGCAGAAACGTTTTACTGGCTGGTTGCATAATACTGTACATGGCAGCATGTAAAATGAAACTTTTGTGTCTTATTTGTACTGTGCTGACGAAGTAAATTTGGACATGGTTGAGTAACTGGTTAGGCAGGTTAAAAGTATCTAATATATGTAGGAGTTAAAGAATTAAGAAGTTTTATTTAAATATGTTCTGTTTTCGTATGGCGTTGAAGCTGAACAGGTAGTAAGTTGAAATGAATTACTGCATCAAGTTTGGTTCTATAACCATTTTTGCTTAATTTAGGAGCTTTCCCCTTATTTTTGAAAGAAAATTAGTATATAAAGACATACTTTTCTTTATTTCAATCCCCAGTGTCAGGCTATGTGATTTAATTTTTGCTTTTTCATGTTATATGTTGAGGGAGCAGAACAAATGATAAATTAAATACCTTACATTTCGTGTGTTACTGCAGAGCTGGCAGGTCTGTCAATGCAAAAGAACTTTCCTGGTGCAATTTTCTGTTATTACAGGTGCAGATCATCCACTGTTAATACAGTATGTAGATATCAAAAATAGATTTGAAACTGTAAATAACCCTCAAAATCTACACCAGAAATTTGCAGGATAGATACTGTTCTTGATGAACTTATTTCCTCTCCCTACCCAAAATGTTGTGTTATAAATTTACTATTTTAGTCTATGTGGTATATACAAGTCTTTCTATGAACTATTCATAGCTTTAAATTATAGTTGTGTTAATCTAGATAAACTTATAAATTACAGTTGTGTTAACCTGTATAAACTTACTCTACTATGATAAGGATCCGTGTACATATATATGTTAACAGTAGCAGTTTCTATAAGGTAAACTTGTAACCTAAACCTTTTAAAGTTATAATGCTCCAAGCTTCTCTAAAAAAAAAATTGGTCTTGCACAACTTTTGCAGCCCAAAATGCTTCCAACTGGGAGAAGTTTTATTCTCATACTTAAATGAGGGGACACTTTTAAAAATGCAAATAGCAAGTGCATTTAGGTTTTCAGTAAGAGCTGAAGTGAAATTCAAAGAACAGTAATGATTTAAGTTACGAAAATCTGTTTTCAAACTTCAGGAAGGCATTCACAATGGAGTGTAGAAGTTTCCTGTTTCAATCTAAAACTAGATAGTTGTTCTGTGACTTCTGCTAAAACTGTTTATTGTTTCTCTAACAAAATTTTCTGCTCTGATAGTCTTCTGAGGAAACTGTGAATTTAAAGCCTGATTTAAGAGAACACTGAGGCATCTGAAAATAGAATATAATAATGCAGGTACATTGCTATTTCAGTGAAAACGTTTCGATCTACCTGTCTGGCATTAGGCATGTACACAAATTGCTTACAAAGCTGATCCTAAAGTGATAAGCTACAAAAGTCTGTACTAAAACTAAGGAAGTCGGAGAATCTCCAAATATGTTTAATATAAACCTTAAATCTAAATTTTGAGATCACTTTAAGCGGCTGTAATTGTTGCCAAATGGGAGTAATTTCAAATTTATTTCCTTTCCTGTACACATATTAAATAGCAATAAGCTCAAATTTGTTGATTGCTTTGTATCATAGTTTTGAGCTCTTGCATTTGAACATAACTTGCAGAAATACTGACAAGCTTGCTTGTTGATTGCTAAATTTCTAAGTGACTGATCTCTCATGCTTACAGCGTATATGATAGCTTGAGTTTGGTGGTGTTTTTTTTTTTTAAGAGAAAGAATTATGTAGGCCACAACTTGGTAAAGATTTGTGTTTCATTTTAATCCTATGAGTTTGTCCATTTGAACTTTGCACAGAGACAGGCACGTACACAAACACATATGCTTAGTATTTTAATTTTAGTGTGAGTGATGTACTTTCAATAGCAGAACCAAAATTAAAAAATACATTCAGTGTGGAACTGATATTTAATTTTTTTTTCCTCACTGGAATGAGAAAAAATTATGTTGAGTTAACATTTTAGTTTTGTGAACAGTAAGAAGAGCAAATTAAGTGAAATACTAGGGGATGATGAGGGAATGGTAGTTGCGGTGTCTTTCTCACATGGATTACATACCCCAGTAGACAGTTAGATATGGGAAACCCAAGATAGATCTCTCAAAATCTCAACAGTCAGAGAAATTATACATTTATTATGGCTCAGCAGAGGGCCCTATTTGTCTGTAATTTATTTTGAAGGTTCTTTTCTTAGTTCATCTTGTTGAAAAGATTATTCTCTACAGGGAGTGAGTTGAGATCTGGAGAGAAGAGAATTACCTGATAATGTGATGATTAGGACGTTCATGTAATATATGTGGTCAACAGGCCTTCTTGCAGTTAATTTGTCAAAAGTAGAGTGAGTATCTGGCCTCAGGGACTTCAGTAGACTGATGGATCAATCAGGTTTTGGGGAAAGTTGGGTTAAGATCTTCCCAGCCAGCAGTTGCCAGTGTCCTGTACAAGTGCTTAGCAAAGAGATGAAAGATACCAGTGTTGTCACCGAGTTTTTCCAGTCAAAACTATTTAGTGGATCTTTCAAGACAATCTTTATTTATTTTTACGGTAAACTAACATTTTTAAAAAGAAAAAATCATCTAGCTCTATGTACCTATATAAATATTCTTGTTTTGCAGAAAGACTTCTATTATCTTCCTGAGGTGCGTGTAAATCCAATTTTATTTAATGGTCCTGCTTGCTTATTTACAACATACTGAACTCCACTGATTTTTACCTTTGTGAACTTAAGTCGACTGCTTCTTCTAAATAGAAAATGGAACGATAAAGATAATTGCCCTAGCTTGAAAAATCTTTAATGTATATTAGTAAAACTGCAGTATGGATAAGCATATTATTTACTTACCTGGGAAACTATATACCTGAGTCCAGGATAAGCCCTGACTCTCTAATTTTGGGAACTATAAGAAAAGTGACTCAATTAATTCTGTGCCCAAAATGCTACAATAAAAACAAAAATCATACACTTTGTTAAGATAATTTAATGACCATATCTGCTAGTTCCACAACAGAAAGGGTATCTAATGCTACCCTGCAAAATAGTTTTTGCTGAATCTATGCTAGCAGAGACTTGTCCACTTTGTCAGGGTGGGGTTACTGGCTAAAATCCTTCTGGCTTATGATTTATGCATAGTTGTTTTGAACCCTGCTACAAAGTGGTCATGGAAACACTTTTGAAACAACAGCTAAAATAAATTTTATACAAATTACATAAATGGCTGTTCAGCATTTGGTGGGCATCTTGAATGTGGAATAGTAGCAACAGACACTGCTGCTTTCTTGCAGAAGATCGTGATTCTTCATCAGTCTAAGAGGACGGTGCAATATGCTTTAGTCGACGTGTGAACTTTCAGGAAATGAGTTGAGCCAATATAAAAGGTTACTGCTACAAAAAGGAGAAGGCCTCATTCTCCTTTCATCCTTCTCCCTGTTTCTGACCATGTACTTCTGCAACTTATTTTATACCGACTCTCATGTTCATCTGACTTTTTCCTCAGTGGCTGGGACAAAACTAACTTGGGGTTTAAAAAGAAGGAGGTGTTTTTCTGCTGGGTTAGTGAGTTGCAACAGCTCACAGAAAAGGTCAAGGAGTGGCATAAGGGCAATGGTGAAATGTGTGTTTGACCTAGCTGTTTATGAAGCCACAGCCAAAGAAAATACGGCTCAGCAGCGTTTGAGAAGCGAGAGAATCCTGTGTAACAGATGCAGAGATGCCCTGGTGTGCACAGTTACAAATAATGCGCGTATGTTTTCATGAGATGTGATGCTTACGGTGTCAAACTCAACATTTTGCTTTTGTAAGGATACTTGTTCCACTACAGATTCTAATCAAGTAAAAGCATTTTTCTCCTTGAAGGTGTTTGCATTTTCTTTCTTTAAAACAAAGTAGGTCTTTCAAAAACTCATGAAACTCAATGGCAAAACTTTAAATCAGTCCTTAAGTATGGTTCCGGTTTAGGCCAAGAAACACGTTTCCCTGGTCATCCTTCGTGGTAAATGTTAAGAGAAAATTTTCTGGAGCATGACTTGGGAGCAAGATGCCAGTTTGGTCTCACTGAATTGCCTTCCAGTGGTATCTCTGTCTTGCCATCGAAAGTGTAAAGAATATGGAAATGTCAACCTGTGTGAATAGCCTTACCCCGTAGCACATTGTAATGAATGTCTTGAAATTAAAAAAAAACCTCCTAGAATTATCCTATGAAAACAATTTATGCTGTGACAGTCCATTTCCAGTATATCAGCTGCTTTAAAATGTAAAATTACAGCCAATTTTAGAGAAGAATGATGTGTAAGTGTCTTGTTCCAAGTTAGTTTGTGGCATTTCTAAGTACTTTCTTCCAGTCAATTTTAAGAAAGAAATATTTTCTTAAGAGAAGAGAGGGTCTTGAACATCTGCTATGTTAGCCTTGGGGGAACCTCCTATCAACTTGCTATCAACTTTTATTTGTACTGTGTACAAATGTAGAACAGAATTGGAAAGCAAAAGTAATTCTTGCTCTATAAAGTAGCCTAAATTGTCCCATAACAGAAACTACCAGCCATGCATAATGTAAACACATTGGTGCTATGGAATCTATGCTGTCAATCTTGATAGCTGTGTTAAGTCAGTTGGAAAAGTGAATTTTCTGCATATACAGATTTCACCTCCACAGTTCTTTTAAGTGCATTTGTTATGGTAATTATCGTGAGTAAGAATAGTTAGTTACCTCTTTGCTATTCCAGTGCTGCATTTGATTTATTTAACAGATACTAGTTCCCATTGAAGCTCTGTGGCTTAAAGTATAACAGCATACAGTTTGCTTTGCGAATCAAAATGCTGGTCTGTGTGGCGATGTCCTTCCTGTACCTGACCTATACCAAATCCTAGATGTGGTTTCACCGTGTGTTTCCACCTTCCATCGTATTTCTGACACATAATTGCAAGAAGCAATCCAGGGGACTCTTGTCAGATGGGTGCATTGTGTAAACATGATTGTGTCAAGTAAATTCTCTTTCAAAGTACAAAGCACTTGGCTTTAGGATTCCTTCTGTCTTAAAAATACACGTAGCAACTGAAATGCTTGAATGCAAACAGGAGTGAATTTCTGTTTCTCATGTCAATTTATGGCCAACTTCTGCCTGGGTGCAAGGAGCAGGGGAAAGTGTGCCAGTGCCCTTGTGAGGCACAGTGGAGAATCTTTTAAAAAACAGTGGATTAAAAGAATGCAGGCAGGAGCTGTATGAGAGTAGGAACTTGACTCCAATGCTTGAATCCCATGCAGTTTAGTGTGTACCCGTTCTGGTTTTGCAGTTGTCTTATACTCAGGGGAGCCAGAATCCTATCTTGGTTGCACAGTATAAATCTGGTGTGTATCTGTGTGCTTCTCAGGAACTTTGCTGGCTGGCAAAAATCATTCCTTCAACTTTCGGTTGCCTGAGTTATCTGATCTTAGATGAATTTCAGCACTTGTTTATAGCATGCAGTAACTTCTTGCCAGCAGCTAGCTTAGTGTTTCAGATTTTGAAGTATGCTCTGTGCTGCTCTGGTTGTGAGGCGTAAGGTTTTCAGAGTGCGCTCTGAAGTGGTGCAGCTTATCTATACAGGTGAGCATTACACTGCTTTGTTATTTTACAGTTAATGTAGGCACGAATCTGCTCGTCAGGCGTATGCAAAGGGCTGTTCAAATTGGCAGTGCAATGGGAAGTTCTGTCCTTTCCATTGCTTAACTATATAATGGGCAAATGATGAATTGGAGGGCTATAATTCACTCTCTGCTACTGACTTGCACCATTTCATGATGATTACACATGTACAGTGCTCTCAGCTGTGTTTTCAGTTAAGCAAATACCTTATTTCTGTCACAGCTGACACACAGCATTTGAAAAGTGCAGTCCTTATTAGTGGTGGTTCTTGCTGAATTTTGCTTACCAGGTAGGTAGCTTGGTCGGTCTGTCTGTCTCTCTCAACTATTTTAATAAGGGTGAAAAGTATGAAATTTCTTGAGTGTTGTATTTTGTACAGTGCATAAGTGCAAAATGGGATCTTTGGGGTTTTTTTCCCCCCACTTGACTAAAATCTTACTTACGGTTTCTCAATCAGTGTATGGCATGATTGTTTCTTCTGTTTTGTGGAGTGCTGAATATCCTGGAATTTTCTGTGCTTGAAGCTGACAGCCTAGAATAGTGCAGTGTCCTCTTTCTAAGCTATTTTCTGTCATGTTAAATTTTATAAGCAGCTTTGGAAGAATTATGTATTTCCAAGACAAGACAATGTGAAAGTGAGATATACAGCATGTGCTTCAGTTTCATTGGGAATACTGAAAAGCATGATTAAATATTTTAAAAGTATACAGTATGAATTTTAAAAATACAGTTGTGTTTGGAAATAGTTTGCTGTTCATTGATTTGTCTGGTACATGCTTATTGTAGCTTCTGCATGATTCATCTTTGTAATTATTCTACTCTAAAATAGCTTTTTTTCCTTAATTTTTAAAGTTAAAAGTTGATTTTCAAAAAAAAGAACTTTGATAAATTCTATTTATAGTATATTTTAAAATTAAAAACAAGTATCTTGTTTAGAAATAAGATTCCCTAGAATATGTTCTATTTCTGTTCTGTATTTCAGCTCTCTAAGATCCTCCTAAAGCTCCTGCAGCCCAAATTACCATTTTGCTTGTCTTATATTATCTTTTTTGCTTTAAAACCAATAACATAAATTTGTATTTTCTTTTCTCAATTGCATATTTATTCTGGCTGAATTCAAGTTGCATCATACCACTGAAATACGCTATAATTTCTCTGTAACAAAATGGATCACATTCTTAATGAGCTGTTCACTGTGAGCATCTGCTTGAAGATGAAAATAATTGCTTCCAGTTATTACCATTTCAAGAGAGGACATTTAGTTTAAACGGCACTTTCTTTCAAAGCAAAAGTTAGACTCTAGATGCAAGAGAAATTGTCAGCTGTTTTAAATCAGTGTAGCTCCACTGAAAACAAACTAGGGATAGTTAGCTATTTTGTCTATTTTAAGGCAAGAGTTTTATGCCAGTTTACACTAGCTGAGGATCTGATTCTCCAGCTTCAGAGAAAACTGTAAAATTTTGAGTTGATTAAAAAAAAAAAAAAAGGCAGCTGCCTTCATGCTTACTTATACCAGGTAGCACCTTAGTATTTACATGGAGCTACTGAACTCAGAATGAGAGGAGTGAGGTATTACTCTCCATTGCATAACTAAGTGTAATTTGGGAGTCTATAGAAAAAAGTAAGGAGTAATGCCAGATGGTGCACTCAAAGGATAGATCTTTTGTTAAAAATCTCTAGAGGGATGCTGTGTCTCCTTGCCTTATTAAGAAATCTTCCTGTTGTATCATGGAACACCATGTCAGTGTCAAAAAAAATTCTAAATGTTGTTTCAGTTCAGCAGTGAATAGAGTCTGTCCATGGGGCCAAAGTCACCTCATCCTGCTAGCCTTTCTGATGTTCAGTGGTCTTATTTCATATCAAAGTTCTCATTTATAGGTATATCTTTATATGCAAAAGTCTGCTATGTTAACAGCTGTACAGAGCCCTGTTCCAATCTGGACTGGAATGTGCCTCTGGAACTTGTGCAAATTAGTGTTTTTCTGGAAGATAGAGGAGTTAGTTGTAATTATAGTTGTAATTTGTAATCACCTTTGTAGAAAGCAGCTACTACTGAGATTTCGTTAGGCGACTGCCTTAGAGTTTCTCAGTTAAAAAAGTCAGTGCGCTATCTTTTCCCGATTAGTGCTTGATTTATTTCATTCAGAGAAAAAAAACAAACCACGAGGCTACATTTCTGTTTACTTTCTCATCCATACACAAATATCATTGTCAATGTCAGCAGGAATGGGCATGGCACTGGGAATAGTGGGTGGCTTAGATAATTGGTGTTGCAATGCAGATGCAAGTCTAGTACTATTTTTAATTTGGGCAGTTTTCCCCACCAGACTAAAAGAATTTATATGTAGAGCAGATTTGGGTTCCAAATAAACTTTAACTGTATAATTTTTAAAATAACCTTTGTGGCTTCCTTGGCTCCAAGCCATAGTCTACAACATACTATACAGTTTGGGGAAGAGGAAGAGGTGAGAAAAGGGTGATGGACAGGGCAGTTTCTGATCACTCAGTAACATCAGCGTAGATCCAGAATAACTATGCCAACTTCAGTTAAGTCACTTCCATGTAATTTAAAGCAGAATCTACTGTGATTCCTCAGTGCATTTTATATGGTCAAAACACCAATGTGAGTTATGAATTACCGTAAAATTTTTTAACCATTTGGAAACCTGCGTTCTTTTGCAAAAATTAATTAGGCACTTGGAAAGTTAGGTATTGATTTTTTAGTAAGGCTTAAACTCCGGAATGGATTTTTTTTTCTCTTTGAAAATGGAGGCCAGCAGAAGCATTTTATATATATAATACACTGTTAAATTTTGGAAGATTTTCTGCTTTGGCTTTCTTGAAAACTGAAAGATGCAATGAAGGTGTGAATATTGAATAGTTTCTAAACACAGTGATACCACTCTGTCCAAAGTATGCCTTTCTCTGCAATCTGAAAAACAAACTTGGGGCACACAAGCAAAAGTCACAGCCAATTGTTTCTTGTTTACACTGTTACTCAGTTTAGACATTGCCTTTTAGATTCCAGTTAGGACATACCACTTTTCAGTGCTGTTCCCTCCAGAGTGTGTAGCCTTCAAAAGTTAAAAAGTACTACATGGTGTAAACTTTTAGTACTATTAGCATGACTGCAGAAATGTTGCTTGTCTTTCGTACTCTATTTTGGTTAGTGTGCTTATTCTGTAATACATCCTTTATTGAATAACACATGATAAGAAGTTCTAAAATGTTTCATTGTAATACTAAAATGTAGCTTTGTCTGATGAGTATTTTAGGAAGTAGCCAACTGTTTTGTAATGTGTCATGTGAAGCTTTCTATGGCATTATGTAGGTTTGTGTTTGTTCAGCCTTAGTATTGTTTTCTGATTTCATGTCTTGCCCGGGGATTAACTGCCACACATTTTCTTGAAATAGGGAGGGGGACACAGTGGTTTAGTGATTAACACAGGAGAACATTTAGGTGAAAATAGCTGCAGAACTCGAGAAACACACAGTTCAAACAGTTCAAAGTATACATGCCATGAAGAGAGGTAGAGAAATTTGCTTTCATAAAAATTTGCCAATCACTCCATTATTTTTTTTTAGTTACTTTTTCTGCCTGCAGTAAATGCTTACATCAAATCTATCTTGCTGTGTTTTTTGCATTGTAAAGCAGTAGCAAGTGTGACTTTTGCAGAAGAGAATCATTTTGCTTTCATATTGAAAGCGTTAAACACTGGAGTAGAGACTTTTCTATGGGTCTGCCAGTAAATCATGTAGTATTCTGTCAGTGTTCAAATAAATAACTGGAGAAAATGTTCTGCTTTGCTTTCAGGAGTTGCTAAGTCGAACATCACTAGAGACTGAGAAATTAGATCTGATGGCTGAAGTTTCAGACCTGAAGATTAAGCTGGTTGGTATGGAAAAGGAACAGAGTGAATATGAAGAGAAACAGAACAAAGCTGAGGTGAGTTTCTTTCATTAGCTTGTTTTCTTTTTTTTTCTATCATGTGTCTGTGGTATGCTGTCATACACCTGAGCTTTTGACCTGACATCAGCATGCAGTAGGATTTTCCGTGCTTACAGCACAGGCCGTATCATTGATCCTGTGAATTCAGTGAGGGATATGATTATGCATTTTTGGGATGTGGTTTCTTTTCCCCTCTCTCATTATACTTCAAAGGTTGCTGTTTGGCTTTAATCAAGGCACAAAGTCCCTTCCAGAAGCATACATTACAATTGGCGTTCACTTCACCCTTTCCTTTCCATGGGAGCTGGACTGGCATGGCCACATGAGGCCTACCAGAGCCCTTCTCTTTCCTTGTTTGTGACAGAAGACTGCCAGCTCAGTAGTATCAGGGATGCTACAAACACTTAGACGATCGCCCTTGGTGATTTTAATGCATTCATGGCACTTGGGAGGGGAAGGCAAGGGGCAGGGCATTTTCCTCAAATGAGTCTTTCCCCTTGTGGTTACATAATAAATAGTGCAAAAAAAAATGACATGCATTGGAGGAATTTCTAATCCTTACTCCCCTTCAGATGTGGAGAGTTCTGGACATCAAAGAAGCTTTGCTTTTTACCATATTGGTTAAGAAAGAAAGCATGAAACGGGGTCATATGAACAACATCCATTTCATGGTAGTGAGCAGCAGGTGGGAGCTGGGAAGGAAAGCGATTATGGAAGACTAATTCATACGAATTGCCCTGTGTTGCCCTACTCAGTGGCCCTGTAAGGGGACCAACTAGCAGGAGAGGATTACCTGGCAAGGGAGGATTACTAGGTCCAAGATTTATACGTTGCTGACTGAAAAAAGACTTTATGTTCCACATTGACTTAGGACAATTTGAAATCCAGGCAGTGTTAGAAAACTGTTTGCTCTCCATAATGTTGCTAGTGGAATATTTGATAACTATGTGTAAGTAATTTACCTGCAGTGACATAATATGTTTGGGGTGTGTTTGTTTTTTGACTTATTTATCCTCTGAAGTTTTCCTTAGAGATTAAAAGATAGCTTGAAGAGAGCAATTTCTGGCAGAGGTTGCAAGCCAGAGAGGCACCAGCTGCTGTTTTTACCATCTGTGGCCTTCTCACGCTCTTGTGTACAGAAGGCCTAAGCAGTCTCGTACTACCTGAAAATCTAAACGGGTCTGTGCAGCGCCTAATTGCTACAGATGGCAGCCAGCTCCTGGCAGCCGCTTTCCTGAGAGGCCTTCAGCACTTCCCTTTACATGTCGAATACGAGGATGAGGCTGCTTAAATTATTGCAGGACATGCACAGTCAGCCTGACTCCTGGAAAGCAACAAAGCTTTTGAGTGCATTTGCATTGACAGGACTTTTAAGTACCCAGTAGGTCTGGGCCTGTGATGAGGGTGAGGCTATGACCTGTGAAATTCTTCTGCCACTGCAACAAGGTGTGTGGCCCCCTTGGATGGAAAAGTTGATCTTTATTGGCCTGGAAGCCTTTTTTATATCGCTAAGTGATAGGAAACGTTCCTGCTGAGATGGAAAAGGATTCTAATCTGATGGAAAAGTTGAGAATCATTGTGTTAAGTATGCCCTGAATTATTAACTACCCCAAGATGTGATTAGATTCCTGGCCTGTTGAAAGTTGCAAACCTGTGTATACAAAGCAAGGAGAACGGGTGTTGTAAGTAAAGCTGTGGGAATAAACAGCGGTTTTGGTTTGCTCATTGAGCCATTTTTAAAATTATTTCAGATTGTCCTGAATAAGTGTTAATCCAATTTGTCAAGATGAACAGGGGCTACTTTCAGTCAAACTGGATGCTTACTTGAATTCTAATGCTTTAACACTATTTCAGCTCCTTTTACTGTAAATTTTACTAATTTTCAATACAAACACAATTTCAAACATCAGAATGAAATTTATTAGTATGTTTTCTTTATGCTATTAGACTACAAGTGCTGCTTAAATTGGGTAATATCTTTGAGTGTCTTCCTGAACTCCTTGCCTCCACTGCCCAGCTACACCCTTCTAGTGAATAAACCACTCTTATGTATGCCAACAGTCTACCTTTAGTTTGCTCTTGTTTATGCATACACAGTTGTGTTTTGGTAACCTAATTGCTTCAGAGTGACAGTTCTCCAAATTGACAGTGACTGAATGAAACTAATCTTCTTGTAATTTTATCTCTGAATGTCGTGGCGACTATAACATGCTCTTATAGTGTATAATGCCTCAAATGAAATTGCAATTAGTATTTTTACATAAGTGGAACAAAGCTATGAGTGACAGAGGTAGAGCCTTTCTTATAGACTGCAGCTGGTCAGTTGCTGCTTTGAAGACTGAGTTTAGGATTGACAGAGGTGAGCAGAAGAGTGATTTTATAGATTTGCTACTATCAGAAGTAATAGTCCTCAGCTTTCACCCTAGTGCGTGTGTTACAGAGGCATCCAGTAGTTAAACCATTTTAAACAGCCTGTTAATTATACTTCATAGCTGACCCTGCAATTTCTAAATATAATAACGGGTTTTAAAAAGTTTAAAATTAAATGTGACATTGCAGAATAATTCAGCTAAAACATATTTGTTCTGTACTCTAATTTTGTGTCGGCTTATTTCACAGCAGCTGTTTCCAGTCACATAGAATTTATCTGTAGAATTATTTCTCTGATTGGGTTGGGGGGAAACAGAACAAATTAAGATATCCTGCTAAATATGTGAGCAAGTTTTAATGTGTCAGATTCATTTAATTTGTGCAGCTGTGGTTTAGTTTTGGTTTTAGTTAGCAGCAAAGAGTTTATCAAGCATCTCTAACCTCCTCTCAAAGGTATTAATTTCACACGGAATGCCACTTGTCTCTGGCTCTTCAAAAGCACATGCTAAATTTAAAGTGCCATTTATTTATATATGTAACAGAGGGGTTGGGAGAATAGCTGCTTGTAAATGTATAGTCTCACTCTTGGCTTTGTAATTTTAATTCCTTTTTTTTGTGGAATAATGTTCTACTTCTGCTGCAGTGGTGCTGTAAAGGTTTCTGAAATCCCACCTGAGGGAGTTTGTGTAGCTTTTCTCTTACCTGAGAAGCCTTAGAAATTTTGGAAATGTGTTTTCTTAATGTAGCAAGGTATGAGCGAGCAGCATTATCAAGTGATTAATGGCAGCCCAGATGTCTGCTCTACCTGAACATAGACAAAAGAGACCTTCTATCACTATCAGGAGACTGCAGGAATAATTGTCCATTTCAACTTGCTTAGCAGCCCTTCTTCTCTCCTACTTTTTCTTTTCTAGCATGGGATAAGTCTTGTGGTTTTTGCTTTTTCATACTGAGGATCTGAAGTTTGCTATAAGCTGTTGGGAAGTGTTTTGTGGCTCTTGTGTGGACACTTCTGTATTAAATATCTAGTGCATAGTTACTTGCAATTTCAAAGAAACTTGAGTCTGTGAGCCACTGACTCCCACTGGGGAGTTTGGTTTGTTGTCTCACCTGAATCAAATTCAAGATATAGTATGTTAGTGTTAATAAATTTTCATGCTGTGAAAAGATCTCAAACATGAGAAGCCTTTTCTATCTTGAAACTAGAAACAACTGTAAAGGCATATATTGCAGCTGGAGTTCATCTGTTTCTCCTCCATAGACCTCTTATCCTTCACTGGGGTAAGGATTTCTGCCATTTCTGTACTGTCAAGTTTGCTTTGAGAGAAGTCTGTGTGGACGCAGAGTGTTTCCCATTCCCATTTTTAACATGAGGCAAAAGAGAAAAGAATTACAAGGCGGCAGCAGAAGTGTTTTTGAACTCTCCCACATTGCCACAACTGGAGCAGCTGTCAGTTTGTGTTTAAAAGTCTGTGCATCTTGTTTGAGCAATGGTTCTTCAGAACCTCATATTGGGTTAACAGCGTTCTCTGTCAAAGACGAGCATGGACTAAAACCTTGGTGCTTAAAAGAAAGCAAGACATGGATGTGTGTCCTGATGATTCCAATCTCCAGTCAGTACTGCTCAGTGAGGCATCTGACGGTGGAAATGATGGTAAAAAAGAAAAAAAATCGAAGCATGGAAGATAGAGGGATTGTGGATAGTATCTAAATTGTACATACAGCTAGTCCTATGGATGTTCTGCTTTGCAGCGTTCTGATAAGAGAATGAGTTAGCTAGGGGGACGTTCTCCTCACCATTGTCCTACTGTGTTGCTGCAAAGTGGCTAATGTAGCCACTGAATATACAAAGGATATGATTTCACCTAGGGGAGCTGATACTGAAGGAGGCTATCTTTCCTTACCCGTGCAGCCATGGCAAAACATGTCAGCCTATAAAAGACTGGATAGTGCAGAGTTGGTGTGATGGGGCCCAATACTCTTTCTGAATTTTTTGATTGTTTATGGAACTAATCCTCATTTGCATGCATAAAACGTTTGTTGGATGAAAGAGGATGAGCGTCAGACGTTGTGATCCTGGTTGAGAATAATATGTATAAAGTGAAATATATGCAACTGCTTTTCTGAATTTTGTCTTAAGCACAGCGCCCTAGAAAAATACTTAACGGATATGAAACTCTTTTACCTAACTGATACATACACTTTTGAAAGGGAATATTTGTGAATGTTTAAAGTTGTCTGTGGATGCTGATACAATTTGAGATTAGTTGTGTTAGATACTTGCCTGGTCAGAATAGTGTCCTGTCCTTGCAGTAGCTGTTCCCTAGCTTTGAGATTATTGGTTCGCCAGAGAGTTGAGATTACAGGAGGACTGTTGTGCATTGTAATGAAGAAAATAAAAAAAATTATGCCATGTCATCTGTTGTTCTGTCCACTAAAAACTTTTTCACTCCTTTGGGAGATGGATTAATCTCATCAAATTTATTCCACTTGAGAAGATTGAGAAATCACAAAACCTATGTTGTTAATGTACATGAAAATTAAGAGAAAGGCACTCCAAACTTGTAATACTTGAGAAAATACCCAGCACTATTTGCTACTGAGTTACGGAATTTAAGTGAAATGTTACGTAGATTTTAATACTTGTCTTTGGTTTGCTTTCTGTAGCTGGGTTTTTTGTGTGTATCAGTGATACACACAACAATTTCAAGAAGCAGGCCAGCAAATCAGTGCACTTTAAAAGTCGTTACTTTTTCTCCTGTGGTAGCCTTTGATTTCTCCTATGTATGTTGCTTAACTCTTTCTCCATGTCAAGATACTGCCTAGCTAGCAAGCTAGGTAATGGAGTTATTTTTCGGACCTATGCTAGACCTGGAAGCAGAATTACTTTATCAGTAAATTCCGGGTATAAATTGTGAAAGAGTAGGTTATGGCTCCAACTGAGCACTTAGCAATTTCTTCCTAGGGGATGATTTGGCTGTGTAAATGAATGTAATCAAGTCCATTTCAGCAAAATTGTGCCTCTGAGCCAGCATATTAAAATATGTTCCAGTTTTTCCTGATATCTGACTTCATGTGACTGGGTAAGTTTCCAAAAATGAGGGGCCAGATTCTGATCTTCACATTAGGATCAGAATCATGAATTAGTCTGGAATATAGATTCTGTTCTTTTTAAACTGTAGCTTTTGTGCAGTATTCCAGATTTATACCCATTCACATAGACTTTATCAGAAGGGAAACACATCATCTGCCTTTTTTTAGTTTGCTTTTGACATGCTTCATGTATTTATTTGTGCTGCAACTGTAGAAATATCTTCTTTGCATCATTTTCTTTCTCCCCTTTTTTTTCTTTTTTTTTTTTCTTTTTTTCCTTTCTTCCCATGTTTTCAGTCAGTAGTGAACCTGATCAGTGAGCTACAGGAGCAGATGTGTAGACTGCAGCTGGAAATTAATAGTAGAATCCAAGAAAGAAAGTCTCAAGATAGGAAACCAGACTTGACACCTAATGGTCCTCAATCTAGTCCAAGATCAGTGGTAGAGACTCTCAGCCAGAAGAATTGCTCTCGGTGTGATGTACGAGAAGTACACCTTAGCAGAAGCCTGTGTATTGCCTCTTCTCTTCTCTTGCAGAAACTAAATTCCGCTAACCAGAGCTATGTTGTGAATTATTGGCATTAATCGTTGTGACTTTCATTAGCAGAGAGTGAGGTGGTCATAAAAATCACCAAAAAAAACCCCACCCCAGACACCCCACCCCTGATTATTGGGACAAATTTGGTGACCATTGATACCTGTCTACTAAAGCACAGGTATCTGTAAGACTCAATCACCTCTTTCAGGATTTTCTATGATTTTCATTTTACTTGTAGGTCTGTAGTGCTGGTGTGGTGTGGGGTTTGTTTTTGGTTTGGGTTTTTTTTTCCTAAGTTGAGATTTGTCTGTTTGATACGCAGCATGCTAGCATGGTTTGGTAGCTTGTTAATTTTCCTCATGATAATGTCACCCTAGCCGTGCATGATGGTGCACCCTAACCAGTCCTCTGAACACAGATTATTAAATCCTGAATATCTTAAAAGTTTAACACAAGTATAAAATACAGTTTCAGGTAAGACTATTCTTTTTCTAATGGTAATGTTAAAGTGAATGAGAGCCATAATAAAAATAATCTGCTTGTACCTTTAAAATAGCAAATCCAACACGTTTTTGTTTATTCTCTGACATTAGCAGTTACTAGAAAAGCATTTTTGAATTTACATTACAGATCCTAGTTGTATTTGGTGAAAACTATGCCACATGTCAAAAAAAAAAAAGCTACTTTGCATAAACTGCTTAAATTTACTGAAGGTGGAATGATACTGGCATTCCTGAAAAAAGTCCATTTTAATATTTGCTTTTAAATCAGTTTGATTTAGTTGCCACATCTCTGGTTAAAATTTGGATCCCCAGACTCATTTTATAAATAATCTGCTTACATTGTGAGGGAGTTTTTCAGTAATTTTTCTCATAGGTTTATTTTACAAAAATAACTCATTTGGGTATGATGCCTATTTTGAAAATAGTGCTATTGTTACTGAGCTTGCCTCTGTTCAGAACTAATTAGTGAACGATTAGACTACAGTACAAGCTGCATACTGGGGAAATAATCTGAGAGTCAAATCTGGGAGTCATTCAAAATAAACATTAATTTAATCCAAGATATTAGTATGGTTGCTTAATGTATATACTATACAGGATTCCAAAATTGAGTTACACTTCCAAATTCTTCCATTCCTTCATTTTAAGACATTTGGTCTCATCAGAGCTCCATCAGGGATTTAATAATGTTGTCCTTCAGAATGAACAATAAGATACGGTTCTGTCAAGGAACAGGAGAAGGGACATTTAAGAGACAACTTTGTCAGAGGAATAGATGGAGAATGTTAGGACCCCTGGCTGGCTGCAGCTGTAGGCTGCATCAACTCAGTTTGCAAAGTGGCAAACATCAATGCTGAAAGTAGCATATTTGTAGTCATATTTGAGTGTATGTGTATGGTATTAAATGCCTGTAACTTCCTAGATACTATTTAGTTTGAGTGTTATTTTTCTTGGTAAGTAGCTTAAACACCTGTTTGGGGGGAGGATTGTTATTTTAATGAAAGTTAGTAATCTTTTAGCACTGCAGGTTTCTGCTTAATTTAAGGTGGCTGAAAAACAAAGCAAAACAAAAAACCCAAAACAAAACAAAAAAAGCCCAATAGTTAATGTTATATGAGACTGCAGTTGTGGATTTTTTGGCTCATTTTCACTGAGACACACATGACTTCACCAGGCCTAGCTGCATTCCTTAATATAACTAAGAAATTTGCTCATAATTTCAGGTGGAGAGTTTGAGAAAGTATTCCGTATCTCTTAATTCAAAATAGTTTTTGTCTTCTTAGACTAGGTCACAGTTTTTAATGTGGTGGTTCAGTGTTCATTACTGTGTGGCTCATGCGTGATCTTTAATTCAGGACTGTGGAAAATTAATATCTACCAGGGTTTTCTTACTTTTAGCTGCTGTTCTTCCTTTGCAGGGTTTGCTGCAGGAACTTAGACACCTCAAAATTAAAGTGGAAGAACTGGAAAATGAAAGAAATCAATACGAGTGGAAATTAAAAGCAACTAAAGTAAGCAGAATACTTGGCATTTACTAATGATAGACTTATTTCAGCTGGAAAGGGATATGCTCCACTTCTCATCGATATTTACTTTTCTTACAATTGCCTTGTGTCGGGGCCTACTATAAAGTCAAGTTTTCTTCAACCATCTTTGCAATAAGTATTTTGGTTTAAAGTTTTTATAGCTTCTTTTTGTGCCTTTTGCTCCTTCCCTGCAGTTTCCAGTCTTCTACCTTTTTGTAATTCTTATTTAAAAAAAAATAAAAATGCATTTTGACTTACAAAAGACCTGTTCTGAGGAAAGGCCTCTTTGAAGGTTTTCTGTCTTTTATTTGTGTAATGGTGACAAGCCTCTGTGGAATATGCTTTCCAGACTGAAGAGAAGAGACATGCAAAGTTGGTTGGGTGTTCACTTATATGGAATTTATTTTAATAGACATTAAGCCCAAAATACACCATTAGAACATCTGCTTTGACTTCATGTATATCAAAGTGCATAGCTGCCTTACCCTTCTGTTGACCTTAAATCCTGGAAAGCTGTTGGATCGTAATCTGGAGAAACTTGACATTTGAAACATTTCATCATTTTCCCCAGTAATTAATTTTTCTAGTTGAACAGTCTCATTGTTAAGCAGTTGCACTTTATTTCTAGTTTGAATTTTTAGCCCTTTTCCACTAGATTAAAAAGCAGCTTATTATTTTTCCCTATTGAGGTACACTTTTGTGCTGTAATCACATCTCCTTTCATTTGTGTAGTGCTATAATCGCTGTTCATACGAATGACTGATGTCGTGGTTTGACCCCAGTTGGCAACTAAGCACCACACAGCCACTCGATCACCCTCCTCCCTGCCCCGGTGGGATGGGGGATCGGAAAAAAAAGTAAAACCCGTGGTTGAGATAAAGACAGTTTAATAGGACAGAAAAGGAAGAGGAAATAATAATGGTAAAAGACCATACAAAGCAAGTGATGCACAATGCAGTTGCTCACCACCCGCCGACCGATGCCCAGCCAGTCCTCGAGCAGCGGCCCCCCCCGGCCAGCTTTCCCCCAGTTTCTATACTGAGCATGATGTCACATGGTATGTGACATTCCCGTCAAAGAGAATGTCCCTTTGGCCAGTTTGGGTCAGCTGTCCTGGCTGTGCCCCCTCCCAGCTTCTTGTGCACCTCCAGCCTTCTCAGTCGGTGGAGCATGAGAAGCTGAAAAGTCCTTGACTAGTGCAAGCCCTACCTAGCAACAACTAAAACATCGGTGTGTTATCAACATTGTTCTCATCCTAAATCCAAAACACAGCACTGTACCAGCTACTAGGAAGGAAATTAACTCTACCCCAGCCGAAACCAGGAGAACTGACTTTTTTAAGTTGTGGTTGGATCTTGGAAAAACATTTCAAATTATTAAACTGAGTTTTCTATTTAGTACTTGATGGCTTGATCCAGAAATGACAGATAGCAATTATTTGTATTAGCATTTCTCTCTTTTGAGAATTCTTAGATGAATATTGAAATGTTGCTATTGTGTCTTTTTTCCTTTTAAGATAATAGCTCTTGTATCCATGAAAATGTTTTCTCTGACGTGGTGGAAATGAAGAGTCTTTGGGAAAATATTTTCTCAAGCAGTGTGTGGCCAGCTGCCAAGACAGATAAAGATTATGGAAAGTGTAGGAGCAGAATGAAAATAAGAAAGAAGAATCGTAAAACCCATTGAGTGAGAGAAGATACAGGACTAGAAAGGAAGAAAAGTACAGGGAAAGAGAGAGGAAGAAGAAAAATAATTGTAGAGATGACAGGAATGAGACCTTAAAGGAAAATGGCATTTAAAAGAGCTATGAGATCAAATGGACCAGGGGAGGCAAATCCAAATCTGGTATTAAGAGGTCTGCAGCTTTTGTCTTGCTGTGGCTGCAGCTTCTTAGATGAGAAATTGGAATATTTCCGTGGCTGGATATAAAAAGCATATTAGTCACTGGGAAGTGTAGGAGCCCTTCAGAGATGCAACAAGGCAGATTCTTCTATTCCGTATGGAATTGCAGGCAGAGTGGTGATCTTTTGCTGCCATCCAGCTGCTTGCTTCCTGGTGAAAATAAGTTTGTGTATTAGAGTAAATTAGTCCATGTTTTTCCCTGTTCGGATAATATTGTTTGGTGTTTTGCATTTTTTCCTGCTTTATTTTAGTATTCTGAGAAACTGGTCACATTAGTGATTTTTTTGTTGTTGTTTCATTTTTTTCTTTTTTTTCTTTAACTGCAAGGAGGTTTGGTATGCTTTTGCTGGGGAAATGCAGAATATTGATATATAAAGGCTTTAAGGCTGCTGAAGAAAATCTGAATTAAGCTACTGACTTAGTAAAGTATGCTGTTGACAGTTTTTCTCATAAACAGGAAAAAGAGATGAGCGTCGCTGTATTTCAAGCTGGACAATCACAGAATTCTTTTCCCTCTGTATTGTTGAGGTCTTTAATGTGTGATACTCTATCCCAATCTAGTGGCAGCACAAGTTGCAGTAATTGTAAATGAACCACTGATATTTTGTTGCATGTATGTGGTTGTTTCCCAAGCCGTGCTTTGCTTCTAGCCTATTGCTGTAGTATCTGATGTGAGGAAGAACAGTTTTGTCGTGCGGCTGAGAAAAGGGCTCAGCATTAATAGATTCTCAGTTATATTAATAAGTAGTAACTAGGATAAAAAATGTTTTGTGATCTTTTAGCGGTCTTTATGCAAAACTCAGGAGTTGCCCTGTAATAGTCATTATTATATGACCCGTATCGTAGCACTGAGAACTTTCCAGAGGTTTTTTTACCTACATGAATCCTTGAAAATTTTACCTTTCTGTAAATCTCTCTTCTCTGAGAGCTAATTACATTGGAAAAAGTGAGCTTCTGTAAAAGGAATAGGATAGTAACATCATGAAATATGTAACGTTGTTATAGTGTTTATGAAATGTCCTGAGTTGGGAACAGGACATCAGTCGAAGTAAAGTGTTACGCTTAGAATTCTTCTAGTTCATGGGGAAAGAATCACAGAGAATCGATGATAATGTTATTCTGAATTTGTTGTACTCTCTTTCAGGCTGAGATAGCCCAGCTTCAAGAGCAATTAGCTCTCAAAGATGCAGAAATAGAACGGTTACAAAGTCAGCTATCTAGGACCTCATCACATAGTGAAGTGGCAGAAAGAGGTAAGAGGAGGGGAATTAAAATTAAAAATCCAAAACCCTACTTTAACTTCAGTTTGGTAGCAGCTTGGCTCAGTATTTCAAAGGAATACAAAGAGATGTAGGAATGGACTTTTAGAATTTATTTTGGGAGGAAAAATGGTGCAAATTTATTTTGTCTTCTGGTAGAGTAGAGGCCTTTAATGCGTGAAATTCTTTCCCAATCTAGAGCCAGCACAAATTGCGATAAGTTTCCTAAGGGTACTGAAACTTTTTCTACTGGAATTTTATTTATAATTTGAAAGAGTCATTGTAGTTCAGTGGGAATATATTTTTTTTATACATACCCCCAAAATTTCTTTGAAAAATCTGCAGTTTCCATTTTTTAAGAAAAAAAAAAATTGTCACAGCTAAGCGTAATGTTTAAATGTCCGAACATTCTAAAACATAGTCATTGATTTGCGTCTTTCCTTTCTTCAGGACTATATCTCATTTAGGCTCCCTCTCCTATGAAAGGTTGGACCAGATGGTCTTTCAAGGTCCCTTCCAGCCTGGGCTGTTCTATGATTCTATGATATTGTAGGTTGCTGTTTTAAATCTGCACTGTTGATACAGGTCAATGGCAAATAAACCAGTTTGTTTAGCCTTTGGTCTCAACCAGTCATGTCACAGTTCTCTGAAATATTGACTCCCTGGAGCTTCTGTCAATTGCTGGGCTGTGAGCAATATGATATTAGTGACCTTTTTCTTCTATAATACTGACACTTATCCATGGAGGAATATTTGTGTGTAGTTGACCACAATGCATCAGCTTAGCTGCACTAACTTCTTTTGTGGGTGTTAACTAACGCTTCTGAAGAGTGCCCTTGTTGAGATGTGACTTTTCAGGTGCGGTACTACCTCTTTCTCAGGGCTTACCAAGAATCTCCTTACAGGAATTAATGCAGATGTGTCTTTTCTAGAAGATTCTGTATTTTGACTGTTGTTTATTCCAAATAAGTGACTTAACATATGCTTGGTGCTGATTTCAGTCAGCTGCAGAGCTTGTGCATGTAGAGAACTGCATGTCTAACTAGAAAATTAGTTTGTCTAACAGCAGTGTTTTGTAGAGGAACTCTTCTACTAATAGAATCTTGTATGTTCTATGAGATTCCCAAATAACTTACGATATTTCAAGGGAAAGAGAGTGGTATGACAATAAATCAAGAGCTCAGCAACTTTCAGCTTCTAGTAGTGTGTCTGTTCCTGTTCATGCTGAAGATGGGTGAAACTGTCCTCGATTCCAGTGGGAGGAGAATCAAACCCTGTACAGATTCTTTAGGCTACATTTAAGGAAACCACTTAGACTATATTTGAATGGAATCAGTATGCGGCAGTAATAATTCTTCTGCAGAAAAATTACTGATTTATCAGATTTTTAGATGGTCTTCTCAAATAAAGTTGGAAAATAATGTAGTATGCTAGAATGCATATTCTAATTAAACTGCAAAATTTATCTAATATGTGCTTTTTCTACATACTTTACTTGACTCTCACCATTTACCATCGTAGAGGAAGTTTATAGGAGAAGGCTAAAAGAAAAACGTAAGCCTTGCAATTCACTTTTGGCTTTATCTCACTGTTACTTTCACACAAATTATAACTCAAATGCATTCTGCAGGAATAATTCAATGTTTGTTTAGATTTGGCTGTCTAATTGTAATATACATGAGACATTGCTTTCACTGCTTACAGCAAGCAGACAGCTACTTGCCCTGTTTCGTAAGATTTCACTTCAGAAAAAAAATCAGAGGTTTACAAATCAGATAGATGGACTTCAAAGGGACATTGTCAAGGTTAACAGAGCCAAAACTTAACCTTTACCTCTTTTTATTTGTACATATGTAAAACCCATATAATACCTGGAAAGATGGCTTTAATTGAAAGCCTCCTTCCTTGGACGGGAAGGATTTGGGCTTTTTTTTAATCAGTGCACTAAATTAAAAAAACCAGTCTGAATAAAAATGTTTCCATACTTGATGTTGTTATAAATATTGTAAGTAAAGTTTGCTTTAATGTGCTTAAAAATACCTTGACACCAGTTCTTTTTTGAAGTCTAATATTTATAAAGAGAAATTAGTAGGACTGTGATTTTTAATGGCTTTTTAAAAATCTTCCAATTGCTTGCCCACTGCCTGCTGGCTTGTTTTTGATTTGGCTGTGTCTGTGCATGGCTTGTGTTACTAAGTGTTCTCTTTTGCAAGAGAAATGTTTGCAAAGTTCATTTACGTGTTTGAAAACTTTATCATTACAGGGTGTGTATTTTTCAGAATCACTACAAGAAAAACTAATTACAGTTTTTGCCAATAGTCAAATGACATTGTATGTTCAACATTTAGTTGTAAAACATTTTTTTAAATGTTCTTTAACAGTATTGATTTTCTTTCTTCTCTCTCACTTCATGCCTGCCACATCTGGTTTTCATAGTCTGTGAAACAAGGGGGTCTGTTTTAATGTCAAAGCATGAATTCCTTGAGTGGCAGTTACAGCAGAAAAACTATTTCAGGTTCTGTCTCCATCATGTAGACTTTATTTAGTATAGGTTGGTACTTGAGGACTTGCTAGGAATAGTGTGTAGAGAAGAAATGAAAGATTTGGTTCAGCAAAGTTAGGATGACGTGATTAACAACCTCATAAATTTTCAGAGAGTGTGTTTTAATTGGTTTTGACTATAACATTCCTGAATAACCTCTATCTTGTAACACTAAATTGTGTGTGAGACAATTCTGTATTAGCTCTTGATGTAGATTTTAACTCAGTTATTAATACTGAAATGTTTTAAGGAAAAAAAAAGATTTACAAATTTTCCTCGTATCAAAGTAGTCTTTGTTATTTTTCATTTCCAAGTTTCATGAATGTCCTTGAGCTACTTGTCATAAGCTGCCGAATATTTTTCCCAGATGGAATATAATTAATTTTCAATCATACTTAAAATTATTTCTTTAAATGTATAACTGAAAACACACTCTCATCTTTTGCAAAATAAGCTTCAACGTTTCTTTTTTTTATTACTTGACTTTTAGAGTATAAAATAATATTATGTAGCTTTCTATAAGCAAAACCAGCATGTCTGTGTTGCGCGATGCTTTTAATAGTTCAGCTTTTGAAAAGCTCTAAGTTAAATGTAGTTTAACAGTGCATTTGCCATGCCACTGACATGGTTTTGGTTACTCGTAAGAACATAGGGAGACTATCACAAAACATTTATTGTTTACACTAAATATAGCAAGTGTAATTTCCTTATAAAATTTTAAAAACATTTCTAGATCAAGAAGTTCAACGGTTGAAGATAGGAATGGAATCGTTATTGGCTGCAAATGAAGAAAAGGTGAGAAAATAATCCTTGTTCTACATAAGAATGAAATGATGGTTTTGAATATCTATAATGATCTGAATAACCTGCTTGCTGTAAGCGTGGTATTGCCCTGATTTTTGGATTATCCCATGAGATTGTGACAGAAGGTTGATTTTTTTAAATAGAAATTGTGGCTGACCTTGCTAACCTGGCTGCAGAACTTGGGAGGCCCACTAGATTCCACAGGGGAGTAGAAAGCCAAGGCTGTAATGAGCAGAATCTCCTGGTTTCTGCTATTGAAAAGATCACTAAGGTTTGGTCATCTCTGGCAGCTCTTCATCTTCCAACCTAATCTGAAGTGCATCAATATCCCCAGTTTAGATTGTGATATTAAAAGAAAGTCAAAGTGGCCTTTGAATCAGACTCAAATTTTGGGAGAAAGGGACCAGGATTTAAAAAGACAAGGGAAAAAAAAAAAAAAAAAAAAAGCACTAAAGTAGAAGAGGAGTGAAATTAAACTCATTTAAATGGTAAATATGGTTTTTGTCTCTTACCATCTGTATGATATTTGCCTGTCAATCGGACAATTCAAGTGCAGGGTTTAGGGCTCAGTCTTGGAGGATGTTGAATCTCCACCTTCAGATGCCATTGACTTACTACCTAAATTGTTCCTTATTTTTGGAGGGGGTGGGGTTGAGGGGGATTAATTCTTGAGAAAATTGTAATTCTTGTTTTATGGCAATAAACCAGGCCATGGGATTTTCCTTCATGGTGACACACTCGTATACGATCAAATAGACAATAATATACATCCCTAAAAACTTCCTTTAGTAAGTGAGGAATCTGGACAGGGCAATGATAATTCTGGAGAACATTAATGTGACTCATAACATTTAATTCTTAAAAAATCAAAAAGCCAAAATTTACATCTGGAAAATAAAAGACGTGGCATTATCTCTTGCCAAAATTATTCCAAGTCTGCATAAGATTTTTACATTTGAAGGGAACACAAAATATTGTTGCTTATGTCCTAATATCTGGATATACTCATAGGGAAAGGAGGGTTATTTCCTTGGAAACTGTAGTGTTTAAACTAGTGGACTGATGGTTGACCCACAGCTTCTTAAATGTTTAATGTAGAACTGTTACCTTCAATAATATTGCAAAATAAAATATTCTTCCTGAGAGAAAATAGCTCTAAATAGCTTTTGGGATAACTCTAAATATTCCTTGTGTCATTTAGGACAGAAAGTGCTCAACTAAGTTGCTAGTAAGTGGTGCACATATTTCTTTTTTAAAAAACTAGGTATGTTAGTTCTTTGCTATGAAGAAGAACCTATTGCTTCTATCTATAGCTGGGATAACTGGGTATCTGGTTTAGGCCTTTTTGTCTTGTGTATACTTGCTGAGGTGTGAAGGGAGGATCAGCATCATCTACCATTCTGTAATGTGGTTAAGGTCTGGTTTCTGTGCAGTTACTCCTACAACTCAGTTGATATCTGGTGTAGCTGTAATGTAGCACATGAGTACTGGAGCAGATTTTAATTGAAATATCTCTGACACTGACCTAGCTATGGCAGTGCAGCAGCTCAGTATCAGCTAAGCATTTAAATACGTTCCAACTTCCCTGGAAGGTTTTGGTTTTTTTTTTCCCAATGCCCACTTCTCTGCTTCTGTGGTTTTCCTGACACCTGCTTGTGAAAACTAGTTATTTATTACTTGCTTGGGTTTGTATTCAGTGCTCTGTAGTCACAGCACTGGGCAAGATTATTGCACAGGAATGGTTTAGAACAGCAGTCAAAGAAACAGGACAAACTGTAAAAGTGCAAACTGCAAGATCACACAGTGACAGATAGCAAGAATTTATTATCATCGGGGACACAAAATCATATATAGAAATGAGAGAAATGACAGATCTAATCAATTAAATAATGGTTACTACCCATCGCTATGTTGCATCTGTGCAAAAGGCAAGTGCACTCCCTGAATACATGAATCAAGATGCTTTCTGTACATAATAGGAAAGCGTTAGGTATTGGAGAAAGAGTGGAGTCGGATAATGCATCAGACATTCCTGAGACCTCATTTCTTTGGTTCTGTACAGGTTTGACTGCCTAAGTTCAAAAAGATGTGTTCAAAACTGGAGTAAGGGTAGATGTGGGAATGCAGAACATCCTACAAGAGAGGATTAAAGAACATGACTAGATTGTTAAACTATACAAAACATAAACATGATTTACTTTATGAATATAGGTATGATGCTAACAAAAAACAAACACTGCCCACTTCAGGCGGTTGAGGTTCAACTCCAGAATATTCCTTTGACTCTTAGAAGTGAAAGCAGAGTTCTAAATTATGCTTCTGTAAATAACTAATTTACTAGTAATGTAAAACTCCTCTGGTTTCCTTATATCCATAATTTCACACTGTCTAGCAAATGTTATGTACGACGGCAAATAAAAGCCAAGAAACGTTCTTTACAAGGCATGTGAGAGACCTGATCCTGCTTTCTGGAAACGCAGGCCAAAGTCACAGAAATGAATGTGTAATACAGTGTTTCTGCAGGTTAAAAATGTAGGACTTTAAATATGATTTTATTTAATGCTTTTCACAGGACCGTCGAATAGAGGAGTTAACACTATTGCTAAGCCAGTACAGGAGGGTCAAAGAGATAATGATTGCAGCTCACGGTAAAATGTCTTGTGAATAATTTCCTGATATCAGGTCTTTTAAAAACTACATGCACTACAACTGCTATTTGTTGTCCTTTTAAATATATGTGTATAGTAATATATATTTCATTATGCGTATATTTGTATCATCTTAGAGTGCTATGAGAGCAAGTATACACTCTTTCAGATACAGAGAGAACCACAGTATGTCTTGGCCAGACTTGTGTGTTATTGCCTGTAGTTTGTGGAGATTTCCTTTTTGTTTCCTATGCTGTAGTCAGTACAAAAAAATAGGGTCAAATCTGTCCGGAGATTTAGTTACAACATTACTATTCAGCAAGACTTCTGTGACTGAATCTTATGCTCAACCCCGTCAGTCATAAGCTAAAATTTGTTCTACATCAGTTAATAGTAAATCCCTCCTTGGAGCCTAATTTTGGTGCTATATGTTGTTTTAGATGGTGTCATTAAGGATTCTGATTGATAAGGAAGGATGACTGGTGAGATTACTGCTCTGGTTGTACAGCTGTGTGAACTGCTCATCAGTTGGGTCTGAAGCACTGCAGTTTACCTCCTTATGTGCCAAGGCAATCTGAAGTCAGCAACTGCTCTCCTTAAAACACTTTGCTATATGTACTGCAATGGGGCAGGAGCTTTGGTTGCAGAACTCCTACATCCATGTAGCGATGGCTGGGTGGACAGCTGAGGCCATGGTTTTATTAGCTACTTCATGCAGTCCTGTCCCTCTTCGCTGATGGGACTCCTGCCAGTCTCTTCCACAGTGCAGGCCTATGACATATGTCCTTCATGGCCAAAGCTTCGTACTTCCTGTTTCACTGCTGCTGGTTGCCATCCACTCAAGTTGTATAGGGGTTGTAGAGGCCAGACCAAAAGGAATTATAGCAAAAAGGGTGAAAAGGAGGAACCAAACAGCAGGACGCTCATGCAGACAGAATTTGTCGGCACAGGGGCAATTAGGAAAGTTCATTCAAATTAGCTAAAGGCATTAGTTTACAGTATTCTTACTAAATTGCATTATATCCCTCTCAAGAATCTATTATTCAAAATTAAAATGACATTCAGTTTGATTTAAATTAATTCATCCATAGGAGATGAATAAAGTATACAGATAGGTATTAAGTTTGTATGGTGTTTCCTGTGACCATTATGTTATGAGGAACTGGTTTCTACAGTGCAAAATAACAGGAGACCTTAGTGGATGATGAACATTAACTAATTAAATACATTCTATATTCAGATTTCCTACACCACAGTTCAATTCAGGAATGGCAGTAATGATTAGCTGCTAGCCAGCTAGCTAGCGTTAATGACACAATGTTTTCCTTTTATGTTATGTTTTTTAAACGGCATTCATAACAGGGACACTGATCTCAGGTGCAATCTGATACTGTTAGGAGGACTTTTTTTCTTTTTTGCTAAAAAGAGTCGCAATGAGTATAAGAAGTTCTGTTGCCCTTCCCTTCCACTAAGAAAAATCCTGACAGCCGACTAGGCGAGTTCTGGTTTGGAGGGAACAACTGAAGACCCATGGTTGCTTTGGTGCACACAGTATTACGTATTTAACTTCAAAATCTGGGGAAAAATCTTTGTCTTGTTTATCAATTACACTGCAGGAAGTGGAGTGAGTTTTAGGACAATCTCATTTTAAATTGCCACCTTAGTTTTCAGTACTAAATTTAGTCTGGGAAACTTGACCTTCTGAAAGGACAGTTTTGTTCAATGTACATCATCGTATTAACACACAATATTTTCAGGTCCTGTACGACAGAGTGGAAACTTGTATTTAACACACAAGAATAGGGAACAAGAGTCAGGTAAATCTCTCTCTGAATGTTCATTTACCAAAAAAAAAAAAAAAAAAAAAAGTTCCTCACTTGTCAGTGTTCTGAAAGGAAATCCAAAGGTGTGATGGTAGCTTTTGGAGGCATATTGACATTAACTCCCAAAATAGCTACACCACTGTTACCCTGAGAGTAGGTGCTCTCAACAGTAACCCCCGCAGTTCCACTCTCCTTGGCCACATCCTGGTTGTACATACTTGAGTGCACCATCCCCCTGTGGGACATGGCTTTTGGAGGACACTTGTGTGCACGAACAAGGAGCAAGCCATGATGCTCTGGATTACCGAGTTGGTGCTGCAGGGACTATGATGGTGTTAATGTATGCTAATATAGGCGTTCAGTACTGTGTAAATAAAAAAAACCAGTCATGCTCAGCATAATAAAACAAAAACAAAACCCAAAACCTGTGTGGGAACTAGAGCGTATACTGAGATTGTCCACACTGAGGTGCATGTTGTGATGGCTACAATATTATCACAGTCGAATGAGCTTGTTACCTTAGGTGTGTTTGTGGGAGTCTTGTGTTTAGGTTGCCACGAATATCTAGCTGATTATCTATGTTTCTATTTCTAGAGGTGGGTCTTAAAGGTTCCCTCTGAAGTGTAATCTCTGCTTAAAAACTTTTGGTAGAATCAATGGGTTGAAATCTTCTGTCTCTGATAACTGTTTCAAATAATTACTTGACAGAAACACAATATACTGTAAGCATTTCTTATTTCTGCTTTAGGCAAGCTATAAATCATGTTGACAAAAGATGACCAACTCTTCACCGTAGGTAACACGTACATTTAAAAAAAACCAACCAAATCTGTTTTGGATTAAAGTAGGGCAGCTGCTTGAAACAACCACTGACAGCTGAGTAAAATATAAAGGCGCTATCCTGAACTCTACTATAGGTAGTTCTTTTGGTTTTAGTAATTTGTGCTAACTGAGGGGCTGTGTATGAGGAACCATAGCATAAGTTTCACTTCATATCCTGAAGAGCCAATGGTCAGTATCAGGTTTGTTGGCAGTCTTTGTAGCTGAACAGCATGATAACCAAGCTCACGTCTAATGAGTTTTCAAGTGATCTCTCTTCTAATAGTGCCAAGGCTTAAGCATAAGATTTGGTGTTTTTTCATAACTGCCTAGAGCTGCTGCATGTCTATCACATAAATTAGGAATTATTAATATGCTTAAAGGTCGGCCTAAATTTCTCCATCATGGCATAGCAACCCTTCCACATCCTGTATGCAACCCTATGCATAGGAGAACTCCAGAAAAAATTTCTTATCCAAAATACTCTGGACGTTTGCTGAGCACTAAATATTCAGACCCTGATTTAGTATTGCAGCTTTGACAATTTAGGAATAAAAATTGTACTAAATAATGAATTTGGAATATTTCAGTATTTGGTTAGATCTGGGTTATCCAGAAAAACCTGGAGCGTGTTTACCATGTTCGTCCTTGAACCCAGCATGGGGCACTGCATTATGATACAGATGATGTCAAACATGCATGTTACCTGTAAGGTGATACACAGGGAGTAAGAAAATGGTACCAACTTGAACTTGCCTCAGCACATCAAACTATGAATTAGAGTGGTTCAGAAGCTGTCTCATAAGCAGCTCAGCTACTCACAGCAGAGCACAGCATATAACTAGAAGGGGTAAATTTGTTGCTCTAATATAAATCAGTAAGTCAGTGCCCAAAGGAGGGGTGGGGAGTGGAGGGGCTGGTAAACTACATGCATCAGATGAAGACTGAAGGGGAATTTAAAGATTGAAGTATTAGACTGTCTGATACAGTCCTAAATGGTTTGGGGTTTTTTTGGCCTGTTTCTCTCCCTTTCTACTTCTAATCTTTAATGCTCGCAGGCTCTTCCGTCTCTGGTGGCAGTGAAGAGGAACTTGAGACAACTTTAAGAAAGTGGAATCTTTTGAATAATCCTCAAGGAGAATTATTTAAAACACAGGTACTTAGTAAAGATGTTTTAGAAGCAAGTTCTGCTGTATATATGATTTGTTTGTATTGGTTTCTCTGTAGTAGCTAAGGTAATGTAGATGAGGGTTTGGCCCTGCCTGAATTTTTGTGCCTCTTGGTATGGGCACTGTAGATTCAGAATCAGGCACTGGAGTTACAGGCTTGAAACTCTTGTATTTCACATAGGTCTCTTCAGGAGAATTGTCACCAGCTATGCTCTCTCCAGTGCCACACAAAGCTATGGAAATCAGGCAAGACCTTTGTTTCTTGTTTTCCGTGTGGCTTGTCCTAAGTTTGTATTAATCTGTTTAACTGTTGGCGTGTTGTCTTGCCTGTTCTTGGCTTTGCAAGAACTTTTGGGTAGTTGTGAAAGCAGTGTTTGCCAGGGAAACTTGCAATATGTAGTTGTATAAGGTTTGAATTACAGGAATAAATTAGCAGTTTTATGTATCAGAAGGTATATGTATTGTAGTACTTAAAACAGTATATTTTATTCTGATTTAAAGTGGAAGCATTCCAGTATCTTCAACTAATTTAACCTCTCCACAAGAAGAATCTTTGGAAATCGTAAATAGGTAAGAATGAGTAACTTTAATTGAAATGTAAAACACAGCCAGAAATTTTTTTACAATTCTGCCTTTTTCCATTTTTAAAATCTTTTTTAAAGCCCTTAATGTTGCACACTGTTCACAGAGAGTTAGTACTGTCTACTTTTTCTTGTTAAGAGCTTCTAAAAAGTCATCTATAGATAAAAGGTTTAAAACTGCACATTGTGCCTTATTGCCTTTCATTGTTGATCAAAGGAGATACTTTGTTGCTGTTTCTGACTTCATCTATTGCAGTTCCCAATACTATGAGGTTTAGGCTAAAAATACACAAAATAAATGAATCTCCTTATTCTGAATTATCTGTTATATGCAGACATTATGTGATATATATACAGCTGTCATATGATACAGTTGTGGCATATGCAAATATACTGTGTTGCATTAACTGTTGCTTTTTTGCCTGTCACTGTTTTAAGGGTTCCACAGAAGAAAAAGTCAAGTAGTTTAGAAGACTTGCAGAGTGAATCCCTAGAAAAGGTGGGTTTATTTGTAACGACAATTTCTGGTGTTTAATATCACGACTAAAAGATAAAGGTCAAGTATAAATATTCTTTTTGTTTCACATATAGTAATCCTTCCCACCACTAACATTGTATGTGGGGAAAAAAGCCCTAAGGATAAAACAGTTCAGGTTCTTTTTTTACACCGTTGCCAAGCTTACAATAAATAAACTAGTTGACACACCCATATGTACGCATCCTCAAATTCAGCTTTTCAGCTGAAAGAGAAGAAAAATATTTAGGAGGAATACAATAAATAATGTTAATGGGGAGTCATTTTGTTGAGCTGCTGTATTATTTTGTTTATAGGTAAGTGTTTTTAAAATAATTTTGACTTCCAAATTGCTAAAAATGTTAAGGCAACAAATCCTGAAAGTAATTAAATATTGGGACTGGGTATTTCCACATAGGATTCCTTTTTGAGTGTTTGCATGTAAATATGAGTGTCGCTTCCTAACTTAGACTTCTGAAATAAATGGCATTCCTGAAGATGGTAGTGATGATGCCTTAGTTAAAACAGCAGGAGCACTGTTATTAATTCAAAGGCTTAATTCCATTCCAGAATAAAGACTTTCCAATTTACAAAGTCTCATTACATTATGATCCAGAGGCTTGTTTTATCATTATGTATGCTGAAATTTTCCTGCACTTGTAGTTACGCTTTGTGAGACTGTTATTGACACTTTCTGTACTCAAATTAGGCTTAATACTAGATTACCCACACCCAGTAATGCTATTTAAAACAGATACTAGTAATATAATTGTTCCAGTTCTTCAAATTTTCTTAAATTTTTCTTAAATCTCTGAAGATGACAGTGACCAAATAGAATGTTTGAAATTTGTGTTGCACTCATTTGATTGTGGTCATACATGTGACAAATCAGTTCAGAACTAACGTTTCATTCCATGTGGAATTTATGAAGGTCTGTTTTCTTTTCATAACTTTTAAATTATTTTCCTGTCTTAAATTCAAAAACTTAATTTGTCTCTGTGATATGATGTGGTAAGGTTGTACCTACACATTTAGGCTGTAAATCTGCTCTATTAAATCGTCCTGTAGAGGAACAAGAAACTACCAAGGATATGAGAGAAATGTAGCAAGCCAGGCCCGTGTTCAGCAAGGCATTTAAATTGTTTGCCCTAATTTAGGCATGAGGCTTCTTAGTGAAAGAAATGAGACCTCCCTATGTGTATGAGCTAGTGGCTAAATGTGAATTAGTTACAATCAAAACTAAGGCCAAGAAAACTTGTTTTGCTGACTCAGCATGACAAGACTTTGCTTCTTGCATTAAGTCCAAGAGAACCTGTGCTAGCAGCACTGTTTACTGGAGCTATTCTACTTTGCACAAAACTCAAATTCCAATTACGTCTGGCAATAATAATAATAAAACAAACCAAAACACATTGGTGTCTCTGACCTAGCTGTGCTGGTAGTTTTATCACTTCATTTCTATCACAGCTCTTTATGGTTTCAGCTGGATACATACAGTATTGTGTATGTTCTTTTTTTATGTCAGTAATTTTCATGTTCCTTTAACTGTTAAACAACTGTTATGTTCCCAGCTTAAAGTAAGTCTAAAGGGACCACCCAGAAGCCTGAAAATAGAAAAATTCCTTTAATCACAACAGAAACTAAACAGGGCCCAAATTTTGTAGAGTGGTTTGAACAAACACATTTAGTATTAAATATTTTATTGAAATGAAATGAAGAGATAAAAGAGCTTGTAATATATTGTCAATGCATTAAGTAGCATCACTATAGTAATAAGACTACAATTGATGTTCTGTGTTATGTATGTTAATACTAACATTTGTCTGTTGCTTTTTTCCATAAAACTTTGAAATTACCCTCCCTGCAACTCCATAGTATGTAGACGGAAAACCAGTACAGCCTGTTGTAGAACAAGAGGTATATTAACTGTAAACTCTCTTAACATTTATCTGTTGTGATGTGCTGTGACGGTATGGCTGTGTTTTCATTTTATATTCATTTTCTTTTTAAAATGTTTGCATAGTTCAAGTACTGACAAACTCTGAGAACAGGGGTAAGGATTTGAGAGGGAAATCTTTTTTTATCTAAAAGCTTTTATGGGAGGTTAGAAGCTGAAGTCAGTCGATTTCAAAATACAGTGCTAATTTAATAAGCAATTTCTCTACTTATAACATTTTTGGTACAAGTCAGGATGTACTCCTGCAGTTGCCAAAACAGGAGCAGGGGGTGAGGAATTGAGGAATCCGGACTGCAGTTATAGTATCACAAAGATCCCTCTAGGCCTTGAAATAAGAACAGATAAACCAGTGGTTATCTCATTAAATGTTTCATGTATCATCCTGTCACAATGTTTTAGATGTTTTAAAACAATTTTGTTAGAATGGGATTACTAAATAGGAGCATACTATATGTTTCTGTATACTAAATATGTTTTGCATATTTTCAGTACAAAATTTTCCTACGTAACCACCTTTCTGATACTGAAACATTTACCAATATGAGCTTATTCCAAAACACACGTTGAATGTACACCACTCCCACTAATGTCAGTCGGAGTTGCAGGTTCATTGCTTCTCTGGAAAAGCCTCTATATTCCTATAGTTTTGACAGTTGTGGGATATACATTTTTGTTCAGAGTGATGGCTCCTTCAACTTTTCATTTGGATTCAGTATCAAAGAAGTCTCAACATGCCGTTTCCAAAACCGTAGACAAGTACCTCTGTGAAACGCATACTTTGACTGGAATAGTATCTTGTTAGGCTCAAAACTATCAGATGGATATGCAAGTTCTAATCTACCCTTGTACAAGGAGCAAGATTCCCAAGTAGTTGATCACTGACAAACTGAATGCAAGGAAAATTAAGAAATACTCTATTTTTAGCAAACCCTACATACCGGTTCCCTTTCAATACAATATACTGAGACTTTGAGGACCACCTCTTGTGAGCTCTGTTGCTGGAGGAAGGTCCTCCCAGCATAAGTCATCTCACTGATGCTAGTGACACTGTGTACGTGTACCATAGCTGCAGGCAAGCATACATTAGACTCTACTTTAGCCTGACTGGACAGAAATTGTAGAGTCAGCAGCCATTCAGACTAGCTCTAAAATACAGCTCAGTCTGTGCTTTTTTTCCCCCAGCATATATCAAAAGCATACCTTGTGCTTAGGTTCTATCATAAAATTGGCAATTATATATTTGGCAACTATATATTTAGCTATAATTATTTTTTTTAAAAACCTCACGTTTGTAATGTTATCTATACAAAAAGATCTTAATTCTTACAAAAGTGAAATTTCTGTAGCCTAACTTCATTGTTGATTCTTTTACTGTTATTAGTGGTGATGGGCAAATATGTTTGACCAAATTTGAGTTGAATACTGTTGGCTTGAATTCCAGCGAGATACAATTGTGAGGTGGAAACATAGACAGTCTGGTGAAATATAGGGGGAAAAATTGACAGAGCAAAGAATGGGCCGAGAACTAAATGCATTTCTGGCACTATCAAAGTTGACCTTGGAAGGACCAAATTATTATATAGTGCCAGGGTCCTAGAGGAAAGCGACACAGCTAGAAAAATTCTTATGATAAAACCAGGTAATACTCAACATATATTATATTTTAATGTAATATACAGTCTGGCTGAAGTGGAAGGGGCAGATGAGGGAAGAGAAGGCTGAGTCGTAGCTAGAAAACTTTGTCAGCTGACTATTGGATTTAAATTGAATTATCTGTAAGAAGGAACATGGAGGGGGTGGTGTCATTTTGAACCGTGAACTTCAAATACTTTTTTTCAACTTTTAAAATATTGTGTACTGGATTGCAAATGCTCTGAGTGATTTGATTTATTTATTTATTTATTTTGGTTTTCCCTCTTTAAAAAAAAAAACAGAGTAAGCCACTTGTGAAAGGCAGCAAGTATCAAACCTTGCCAGGAAAGCTGCCTCGACCCTTACAGAACGGAGAGCAGGGAACATATAATTTGCCGGATGGGTGTGGCACGAACGACAATGAGGACAACAGCATCCTGGGCCTAAGTATGTATCCACGCCTCTCTGAGAGGGTTATGTAGAAGGGAAGAAAGCAAACTGTTTGAGGATTGGGACAAAACATGGTATATAATCTGCTGTGCCAGAACAATGGACTATGATGTTCACATGATTCAGTTAGGGAAAGTTCTACTTCCTTTTTTTAACAATGCACCAAAAATATTCCACATTAGCTCACTGGAGAGTGAAGGATGGTTTTAAGTTAGAGCGTTCTTTTCTGTCGCGCTTGATGATGTAATTTGCTGACATCATTGATAGCATAAGTAATGAAGAGACACTGTTTTGAAGATTGTGGGGAGACCATTCTGAAAGTCAACAAATCTGTAACTAAAAATTGGAACTTTTAGAGATGCAAACTTATTGACAATATGAATAAGCAGTATTTTTTCCGGACACGCTTCCAATGCTCCCCTGAGCTTCCTGATCTGTTTTCTTAAAAAACAAGCAAGTAAACAAAAATGCACAGCCAAGTACATCATCAATACTTTTAAAAAATATACACTGGATGGGTGTATTAAACCAAACAAATCTGTCCCTTGCCATCCCACGGCATTTTAGTGTGTGAAACTTTACAATATAACTAGCCCTAACGTGCACATTTCAGGTAAAAATCCGAGTATCAGCACTGTTGGTTGCTGTAGCTTGTGGGGACCCACAAGTGAAAAATTAACTTGCTAGGTGCAGAAAAACATCAGTGGATTTTGAAAGTACAAGTATATTGTTATTCCACAGCCATGTGTGGAAGCCTGTATTAATTTCTTTTCAGTGACATATTAAGCATGGATTTATTGACAAAAAGTATTACAGTGAGGCACAGAACCAGGTATTTGCCAAGGACTGAAGAGCTTGGGAGCTCAGGCAGAAGAGTATGCCTTGCAATTTTGAAGTGTTCCTACACTTTAAAAGATGAGGTGGGGCTTTTTTTTTTGGTTGGGGTTTTTTTGGTTGGTGGTGGTTTTACGTTTTTTTTAGGGCCTCATGGTCCTAAAAGCTGGTTCAATAGGTTATGAGTTGTTCAGGGTTTTTTAAAAGAGTTTTTCAGTGATTGCAACATTGTAGGCAATGCATGAGCCATGCTATTATGTCTTCAACTGCAGGATTATCCAAGGATGGGTGATCTTGTAAAGGAAAATGTTCTTTTTCTAGAAACAAGCAATGACTCCTTAGATACACTGAATTAACAGAATTTTTTTATGCAGTTAGTTTGTTTCTTGCATTACACCTCCAATTCTATATTTCAGAGGAATCTGATGTAATCTTGGACATTGCTTCATTTCAGATATTCTGCAGGCTTTGTGGAGCTCTGTAGTATATGTTTTGTGTTAAAATTGTCTAAGAATAGTTTTTTTTAAAAAAACAAACAGATAAATGATCATCCCTATCTTTTCAAGATGACCTGTACAGAATTCTTGGGGCTTGTACATGTCAATGCATATTTACTTTCATGTCAAGCATAACTGCTTCTTTTCTTTTTGTTTCTGCTTTTAATGCTTAGCTTACTTCTTTGCTCTTCTGTAACTTTATTTTGCTGGTGTTTTATATCTTCTTTGCTTCTTCATCTGGCTTTCTGCTTCTTGGGATGACTGAAGATCGCATCAGGAGTGTCAGTGCGCCAGTGCTAGGTACTGTATCCAAACAAGATGCCACTTTAACATGAATTTTGCTGCTTATTTTTTTTCCTTTCCTTTTTCTCTCCCTTTCTCTTCTCTATGAGATACTAATACCAAGTGGGCCATCCAGGTTGAATTCCTTAAGTGCAGTACTGAAATGAACTAACAGCTTTTGCTGTATGGCATTTGGATGGGATTTTTTTCAGATACTTATTCCTGGTTTTTCACTGAAGTCACAGAAAAATTCCCACTTTTCTTGAAGGAAGAGTTCTGGTATTAAGAATAGGCAAGGCAAGAGTCTGAAGAGTCTGCTTCAGTCTGAAGACCTTGTATTAATTTAAATAATGTATTTAAATACAAATGACTGAAATAACAATACTATTTCACCCAATGTTTTATTATTTTCTTTCTTGTATCAAATGTACAGCTACTTTTTTTTTCACCTTCTGAGCATGTTTTTTTAATACAAGAACAATTTTATAGATATCTTCACTTTTTTATTATGTTCTGTATTTAAACATTAGTCTCCCAGATAAAAACTTAGTTAATAATCAGTATAAAATGTGACTATATTACTGTTCTTAACCCAGGAGAAACAGAGAATGTGGATGGTACCGTAGTCTCAGATGACCTTTCACCTCTTTCTTCGGGAACGGATTCAGGTCCACAATCTCCATTGTCTCCAGAAAACAGAAAGAGTCCAAAAGGAATCAAGAAAATCTGGGGAAAGTAAGATTGGTTTTTTGGTTTGTTTTGGTTTTTTTAGTTCCCTGTCAAAGCATTTTGGCTGAGAATGAATCCAGTTCTCAGGAAAAGCTACAATATCTACAGCAAGAATATAGTAAAATTCAGGAAAAGGAGAGAAAGCAGCTCTGTGATTGTATGGGTGTGTCTCTATGTACACATGGGTGTAGAAAAATGGGGTGGTAGTGTTCACAGCTGTCATGCTGTTGGAAGAAGTAATACTCTGCTGTCTTATTATAATGCTAATAATTTAGAATGCCAACAGTTTCATTAGCTATGAAAAATTAAATGATAGCAAGTTGTTCATTACAGAAGCCATCAGGTTAAAAAATGAGAGAAAATAGAAGAAACAAAAAGCAGAGGGGCTGAGTTTTACTGTGTTTGCTCTATCTGCTTCAGGACAGCAGACATTTATGAGTCTGGCCTCCAGTGCAGATTATTATTTGGGTTGAAGGGTTATGCCTGCTCTGCAGAGCTTTTTTTCTTCCCTCAGAATTAGGTCTAGACAGTGTTTGCCTGGAACTTCTTCAGCTACCACTTGAATTAGATGTTTGTGGTTTACAGGAAGATTAATACAGCTTCTAGTTGTTATTATAGTTTCCATACAAAACAAATGTTCTCTATTGCAAGCTAATAGTACTTTCTTGGCACTCTTGTCTTGAAAGAATAAGAAGAACTCAGTCAGGTAACTTCCCTGCAGACGACCTGGGTTTGGCGGAGTTTCGAAGAGGTGGTCTCCGTGCAACAGCTGGACCTCGGTTATCCAGAACAAAGGAAACCAAAGGCCAGAAAAGGTAATGGTTCCTTCTTTACTGCATCATGTGCTGTGCAAGGTATTGTTAAATGTGCTGAACAGCCAAACCCTCCTCTCGTGAAATACATTTTTCCCAGCGTACTTCATTATGTGTGGAATTCCACAATAACTGGAAAGAATTTCTCCAGTAGGAAATGTATCCTGAGCAGCTCGCCTATCTGCACCCCTTCAACTGCAGGTTACAGCACTAGCTGTTTGTCGGAGTGTCAAAAATTTCACCTTGTTAAAGAACAAGAAATCTTACCATCACCTCATGTGGGAATATCTGCAAAGTGATGAGGATTCAGCAATTCCCTTTTTCTTCTTTTCAAACAGAAAACGGGAAATTCTTATTCTCTGCCTGCCCTCCCCACCCCAACTGTTCATGAGTTGAGGCTGGGCAGCCAAATTAACAGGACACTAGTACCACGGCACGTACTGCAAAAATGGCTGTTGGCTTTTATGACTGCACAGAACAAGGCACACTAAAACATAGGCTGTAGTACTGCCTCTGGCACACGATAAGCTTTCTGATAATAACCATAACTCTTTCCTTTAAGAGTTTCAAACATTTCTTGTACTTTTCAGTGACTACAATGCGCCGTTTGCTCAGTGGAGCACTGAAAGAGTTTGTAACTGGCTTGAGGACTTTGGTCTCGGTCAGTACGTTATTTTTGCACGGCAGTGGGTGACTTCAGGCCATACACTGTTAACTGCGACACCTCAGGACATGGAAAAGGTAATAATCTGTAACTGTTTGTTTCAAGCAACCATACATGTTGATTCTGTACAACCAGGCCCCTTCAAACAACTGGCAGTTCTACCTTTCTGAAATACGTAGTATCTATTTTTGTAGATACCTAATGAGATGAAAAGAGCCAGAGGCAAGGCAAACAATTTGGTAATGGTTATTGTTGCAGGAAATGGGAATAAAGCATCCACTGCACAGGAAGAAATTAGTTTTGGCCATTAAATCAATAAATGCAAAACAAGATGAGAAGTCTGCACAACTTGATCATATCTGGGTGACACGTAAGTGTTTGAACTATCATGGAATTGTTTGGAAAGGAATTTCCCCCACCCCTATAGATGGGCTGCCTGATATATGTTTGTTTAAGCAGTTACCAAACATCTTTTTAAGAGCACTAAGTTTCAACATCTTAAAATTTTCCAGAGAATGAGGATTTTTATGTTGTTCTTGACATCCAAATATACAGCTATGCAGTATGATCTTCCAAGGGGAACTCTGTCATTCAGATTGCAGGGAAGTAAACAGGGGTGGAGGGTTCAATCTGGCAAGAGCTACATTATGCGGCAGAAGGTATGTGCTCAGTCACACGCTGTATGTAAAATATCACAGAGGCATTGTGGACAAAGCTGTTTGGTGGGAATTGCTTCTAGGCTTCTGGTAAGAGACTGTCCTTTGGAAAGGTGAATAGGTAGAACAAGCTACCTGAATGGCTCAGAAGCCAGCCCAGACAAGAAGGGGAGAAGGGCTTCATTCTCACTGATCTGGATTTGGGTACACCGCTGTTCTTGTATCTGCAGGATGGCTTGATGATATTGGTTTACCTCAGTACAAAGACCAGTTTCATGAATCCAGAGTTGATGGGAGAATGTTGCAGTACTTAACTGTGGTAAGCTAAAATCCTTTTTCCTCAGTTTAACCAAATTTAACTTCGGAATGAGCAAAGAATTTTACAGTTTTCCTTTGAATGTGAGCAATTAAAGAATTTTTTGCAAGACACAAATAGCGCCAGTAGTCAGTCAGTCATTTGTGTTGTCTAATGCGTGATTGCTATTCCTAAAGTACATAAAATAAGTCATAGGATATAGCGTTATAGCTAACTTCTGCAAAGTCTTTCTTTCAATATCATATAGCACACCACGATTAAAGGTAAAATGACCTGTTTTGCATGCAGCTTCTGGAGTGTGTTGTTCTCCACACCACGTTAGCATCAATATTCAGTAAACTAAAGATAAGCAGCAAATCCAGTAATTCGTACAGCTCCGACCACATTAGCAGCAAACCATGGACTACACATGCCACTGTGTTTTCTTACAGTTTCCCTGCCCAGGTTTGGATAATCAAGTATTTGTTTTTGTTAACTGTGCTATGAAAAAAATGCCTAATTTAGCTGTTATCTGAAGTAGACAACACTGCTTAAGGAGGCTTTGTTATAGGAGCATCGTCCCTACTGTCCCATGGTTAGGTGCGTGTTGCTAGCTGCAGTGATCCTACCCACAACAGGATCTTAACCAGATCAGAAACAGTCCATATATTTTAAAACTATCCATGAGCCTGGATTTTACGTAATAAGCTACAAGCTCTCCTTCATTTTTTTAGCCAGGTCTTGCTATGGTGCAATGCTTAAAAAAAAACCCAAAAAACCAAACAACAACAACAAACACCCCCTCAAACCCCCACCCTAAAAAACCCTCTTTAGGATATAAGCTTTTATTTTACCTAAACCATAGTTACTGTGGTTTATATAAAACTGCATAGCAAGCTTAAAATCTTTCTTCTTGGGGAAAGTACCTGTTTTGGTATGTATTCTGTGCCACCTAAAAGGCTCTCTCCTTTACAGAATGACCTTCTTTTTCTGAAAGTCACCAGTCAGCTGCATCATCTGAGTATTAAATGTGCCATTCATGTGCTGCATGTCAACGGTTTTAACCCCCACTGTCTACGCAGGAGACCAGTTGAGGAGGTAAAAGTATGTTTAAGTAATTTAATTAAAACAAGCACTAATTACCTGATTCCAGCCAAAGGGGATAGAAAGTTAGCAGTGTACAATGATACAATAGAATCACTGCTAGGAGGGAATTGCGTCTAAAGCAGTAGATACGCTGCCTTCCAGCTCTGGAATGTAACATACTCACCCATAATAAAAATCTACTCACTCCTTAAGTGCTTGAACCACTTATTAGTTGAATCTCATGCACTTCCCTTTAGAAATTATTTGCTTGGTTTAAAGAAGTTTAATTCAACTTCCGAGAGAATAATTTGAATGTTTTTTCTTGTCTGTCCTAATTTTTAACTCTCAAAAGACTGTAAGGTTTTTGCCTTACCTGGTCAGCATAGCTTATTCTCTTAGTATTAAAGACTGGCAATAATACTGTTCTCAAAATGCTCCCTTTTGTACACCCAACATCTGTAGTCTCTATTGTTCTACTACTTGATGCAATATATGGGGTTTCATCTGTACTAGACTATGCCTGCCACCTCATCAGAGGATGTTTGAAAGAGGCCTTGCACAGAAACAAGACCTTAGAATCAGGGGAAAAAATACTGCTCTTTGAGGAAGAGGAGGAACAATGTTTTTATCTGAACTGAGGATACATGTTGTGAACATGCAGTGACAATGCAGGCGCTATATTGTCATCACCTTTTCTGGTTACTTTAACAGAATAACGTTTCACCTTCTGAAGTAGTTCAGTGGTCCAATCACAGAGTGATGGAATGGCTCAGATCAGTCGATCTGGCAGAATATGCACCAAACCTTCGAGGAAGCGGAGTGCACGGTGGCCTGATTGTAAGAATTTGTTTTAACATTTTACTACGTATCTAATAAACATTGACAGACTGTAATATAAAACATCTTTTATCTGGTGTTTGTCAAGCAGGAGGAAGCAAATACATCTGCAATATGACAGCATGATCAGGCCTTCTAAAGAGCCTCTGTATCTGATCCATGCATCTTAATTTTACAAAGGAAAACTAAAATAAAAAAGGAACTGCTAAAACATTTTTCATAATCAAAGCTGAGCTGTGCATGAGTGTTTAACAGCAGTACATAAAAAAAAAACAAAACAAACTGTACCGTGGGAAAGTTACTTACTGGTAAGGCATCATTGAGTGTTTGAGTGGTTTTAATAGAATTCTGAGCCACAGTAAATAACTGTCCTGAACTCAGAGCAGTCTTGCCAGCAATCAGGAATGACATTTTTTAAATTCAAAACATTGAGAACTATTTGCAGCTTAGTAAAGTCAGAGTTCTGAAATACCATGATTCTAGTGCTGTAGAACTTTTGCAGAAATGAAATAGAAAAAATGGTGTTAAGATTAAGTTTATACACTCAGAGTAGAGCAGAAAATTCTGAAAACAAATTTGTTCAATCCAAACAAATGTAAGGTTTGATGATAAATATTAATAAGTATTTTCCTGATCATGCTCTGCATTTCTTAGTGCCTACTTTCATGTATTTCCCATTCAAGCCCTAGTGAGCATCGTATCACAAGTGAGTTATAAAAGGGTGTTAAGATTAAGTTTATACACTCAGAGTAGAGCAGAAAATTCTGAAAACAAATTTGTTCAATCCAAACAAATGTAAGGTTTGATGATAAATATTAATAAGTATTTTCCTGATCATGCTCTGCATTTCTTAGTGCCTACTTTCATGTATTTCCCATTCAAGCCCTAGTGAGCATCGTATCACAAGTGAGTTATATAAGGTCTAATGTATACAGATAGCTTAGTGAGAATGAGCAGTCTCTCTGATAAGCACTGTAATGGTTTACTATTGCAAACATTTAACCATATTAAAAAATAAATATTCTGCCATTTTTTAATAGATTCTCGAGCCTCGCTTCAACGGTGACACACTGGCAATGCTGCTGAATATTCCACCTCAAAAGACCCTACTGCGACGCCACCTAACAACCAATTTTAACGTATTAATAGGACCAGAAGCACAGCAAGAAAAAAGAGAAATAACGGAGTCAACAGCATACACACCTCTGACCACCACTGCCAAAGTTCGGGTGCGTACTGCTTTTAAAAAGGAGATTTTTCAGAATTTCAGACTTCCTCTCCCTTGTCTTATAAAGAAAATAAGGGACAAACATGGTCAGGGAGAGGTCATTTCTAGGAGTGTTACGTTTTCCTTAATTCTAGGTACCAAATTATTTAATTTGTATCTGTTCAAATCAGCTTCTGAAATAAGCGTGCGATCCCTTCTGTCTTTTCTTAGAACTACCTAAATGTATTTAAAATCAACTGTAACTCCCAATTTGAAAACAAATAAATTTATTTAGTTCAGAATCTATGTACTTTAAGGACTAGGGTATAGCAGTAAATCAAAAAGGAGAAGATTTTGAATGTTTAAAGGACAACCTTGTTTTTCTTATTTAAAACTTATTGTCTTCTTATTTTAGCCAAAGAAACTTGGATTTTCACATTTTGGAAACTTAAGAAAAAAGAAATTTGATGAATCAACAGACTACATTTGTCCTATAGATACAAACGCAGCTGCTACGAACGGTACTCAGAAAAACTATGGTGGATACAAAGGACTTAGTCCATTCACTGATAGGGAACTGGACCAGGTGGGACAGACAGACTGATGCCATTCTCATCTCATCCTCTCCATGCATTCCAAAGCTTGCAAATAACCACATGTTAGCACATAACAAAGTATTTGCTACATCTGCATGAACTCGTTGAGAAAGTATTGGCTATGGACACTGGAAAGAGTTCTATACTAAGAATGTCAGGCTAATTTTTTTAATCAACACAATAATAAACTCATCCATCTTCAAGCCCTTTTTCAGGAATGTAACACCTTTACACTACGAAGATCGATGTATTTTGACAATTAAGGTGGAGGTTGCAGTAAACACAAAACTTTTGTACTTCTAGCTTTCATAATCTGAGTACGGCACACTACTTTTTTCATTATCTTTATGGGGTGGTTTTTAATGTAATAAATTTATTTGGACTAATTTGTACAAAGCTATCAAGTTATATATATTAGAATACAACTGGATTGTATATTTTTAACAGACGTTAATCAAAGAATCCAACTAAATTTTCTTTCATTATGTACCGTGGGGAGTAGTTATGCTTAGACAGTATATGTGAAAACAATGCATCAGTAATGAACAAGATTATTAATAAACCAATACTTAAATAATTCACTTTTGTTATGTACTAGTGAACTTGTGAATGAAACTGTCTTGATATCATACAGACAAATGAAGACTAAAAACCATCAAATTTTATTCAACTTACTTTGCTGTTGTGTAAAGGGATGTAAACCCTGAAAAATGGAGCTCCTGGAGGCTTGTGTGAACTGTGGCAACACACAAGAGCCAGACAGAGGCAGCTGGGGTAAACTGTCCTATCTACAGTGACCTTAAGTGAGAGATAAAAACACTTTAAGCCCAATAAGAGAATGGTCACAAAATTGGAGGGACTAACTAACTGTGAAAGTAATTTCTTCATTTGCATGGTTTACTGCATCTAACATCTCATTTGTGTTCATTATCTAACCATTGTCTTTTTCAGTGTAAAACTTAGCAAAATAAAGTACTGTTCCTAAGTGGGGACAATACCAAATCCTGACTATAATTTAGTATGGATGTCCACTTGCACAGTTAAGAGTTGCAAGCGAACGCATTAACTTTGAGCCAACAGCTTACCCTATGCAGTTGTTCAAGTGTTACAAAAATAACGGATTTGTCTCTAGGAGCATGGTCTTTCAATTAAGCATGACTTCTGAGCATGTGGTCATGCCGTGAAATCTCAATGCCCTAGAACTGATAACCTTTTCATATAAGAATAGGTAGGACTGTATCATGAAGGACTCTTTCTTACTGCTTGCCTGTGGAAGACAACTACCAGAAGTATACTGTGTTACACCGTCTGGAAAATATTACTCTTCACTGACAATATCAGTTAAGCTTTTTCTTTTCTTGTGTGAATTACAGCTCAAGTTTCATGGAATCAATCTTCCTTAATCAGGATTCACTCCTCCTATCGTTAAATGCGTTTTCACATACTTCATAGCATGGAGGCATTTTTGTTAATGTGCAGAAATCAGAGCTTTTAAACATACCACAACTTCATTTGTCTAGGCACAGATACCTCCCAAAGATGCATGTAGAGTTGATAAAGTTGCACATACTGTCTGATTTGAACTAGTTCCTGAATACTTTTACAGATGGAACATTCAGAAGGAACAGTAATGCAAATAGGGGCTCTTTCTCAAGGCATAAGCCATCTTACGGTATGTACTAATTTCACTCTTGTTTTAAAGTCACAAATGTGTTCTGCTGCGATTCAGTGAAAGTTGGTCATTGATGGTGGTAGTTAAGAGTATGTGGGTCATTATTCTTGTTAGATACCTCTTTGTAGCCTGGTTGTGCATTCACAGTCCAAAAACATCCTGCTTTTAAATCACACTAGAATTTAAGTTTCAGTTAGGCCTATTTTAAGTTTCCATGAATTCTATCTCTTTGACCCAATGACAGATATTCATCCCCTTAAATGAAAACAATTCTTCAAAGATTTTGCAAGTAACCACCATCGAATGCCTCAGTCACAGAAAGTCTAGCAAAGAGGTACAGACTTGAAAATTTACATGAGCTAAAACTCCACGGAAAACAAAAAAAAAAAATCACTGTATTAATTCCGGACTCCCTAGCAGCTAATTAAAAAAAAAAAAGTTGACTGAAAGGTATAATGAAGAATTACATAACATAGTTGAGTCACATGCCACACACAATCTCTGTGAGAATTTCCTCAAGCAAATAATCATTTATTTAAAGCTATATTCAAGAAATTCCTTTTACTTTTATGTGGCTCTAACTCCCTCTGTTGTGAATCTGATCTCATTACACTTGGATTTCTTTAACTATAGGCCTCTAACTGAATACGCTTACTCGTTCACATCTTGTTTTTTCAGACCATGTTAAGCCAAGATGAAATGCTGAATGACAGCAGATTTTTAACACCTACCTTTGAAGACGATGTTTCAACGTGACAAAGAACACTAATACCTCATGCCTGTCCAGAGGGCTGGCCAGGAGAAGCTTGATGCTGTGGTGCAGAAAAGCTTTACCTCTTTTCTGCCAACGAGACTTATCATGTAGCATTTAATATTGTCAAAGTAGCAATGCATTACAGGTAACTCTCCTCCACGCTGTTTTCTGTATTTCGTAATGTGAAATAGGTGTTGAGAGAGGTGGTACTCACATCCAGAGTCTGGAAAGCCAAGACTGGCAATACGTTTTACCCTTTTATTCAGTCATCTTTTACGTGGTATGTTTATGTACTGTTATATGAAAGATCTTTTGTAATTTTTTATTTTTATAATTAAGTTGTAATGCAGGAATCATTAATACTCTGTTGTACAATGTGGACTAATCAGAGCCACCTAGAAATTCAGATGGATGCTGGTGAGTGCAGCAGTAATGGCTCACTAACTACTACTGCAGTCTTGCCAGAGACTGTTTCCCATAAAAGGATTTTAACCTCTCATCCCTTTCATTAGCACATGTCCTGCCCTCTTTTTATCTTAAGTAAGTGCAGTGTAGAATGGGAAGAAAGGACCATAATACTATCCCTCAAGCCCTTGGTTTTATCAGGAGGATGCCAATCAAGATGGCATGTTCACAAATCTTTACCTAACTCAAAAGATGAACAACTACAGCAGGAAATGTAACTTTGAGACTACCAGAAAAACTGATGGACTCAAAAGCTGGTGCTTCATTTAAAGTGATTTTTTTTTATCGTGTGATTTTTATACGTGCACTAAGATGTTCACGATCAAGAAGCGATCACAACACTTACTTACTTAACTAACGTAAAATGTAACTTTAAGAATGGTGTTCACTGCACTCTGTAGGGTAAGCGCAACAGAATTTCCAGCATGATCCCTTGTTTGGTTTTAAATGGCAGTTCTTTAACTAGAACTATTGAGTGGGCTCTTTCTGTACACTGACATTTTGTCTAAAAGGGCTAGTACCAACACACACGTGCAAGCATCAGGATGCTCATAAGCCTTCTGAACAGTCAAAATGGTTCAGACAAAGTTCTCCCTGTACCTGACTGGTCTGAAACATAGAACGGGCTCTCAGGAAGACAGGGATGGTAATAAGCCTATTTTTTTTACATAGTTACACCTAATTAAACATATGGCTGCAAACAGCCCTGAGGACTGGAGATCGCAGTAGAAACACCTTTGTAATGTTTGCATGAGAACTGGTGATGTTGTAAAACAATATTGCTGTTCACTTTCAGTTCTCAGATTTTCATAGAATAATTCATTTAGCAATAGGAGACAAACTGCTCTGTGATGTGTAAAAATGTGACTAAGGAGCATCAAGCAAGTACCACAATAAAACAAATTTTTGTTTCTTTAAAACACCTGATAAAATAGATCTGTCGCTATTCTACTGAGCTAGGCAGGACTGCAGCACTGTAACAGAGGGAAATATGGCCTCCCACTACTTACTTGAGGGGCTGTTCGAGGGAGAAAGCATCTCCTTTACAGCAGCAATTACTTGTAGCATCTGTTGACGTGTGCCTCTCGTGTATTAACGAGATATCTTAGTAAACAGGGAAATGCCAGAAAAGAAATCTCTTCAGTTGTAAAGAAAAGACTTAGTATGTAATATGGATGGGTTTTGCATTACTCTCTCCTTGCTGGCTGCAGGGTGTTGGTTTACTTACTTATTAATATAGCCTGAGGGCAGGTCATTCCCAGCCACAACCCTCCCAAATAAAGGGGAAATCTCAGGTACTGTCCAGAGTATGCAGCAAGGGCTCTTCGAGAGCTATTAGTGGCACTTTTTAAAGGTGACCTATTCTAGTCCTTACTCCACGAGCCTCTCATGACAGACCCTGCACTGTATGGTCAGATTTCAGAAGCTAAACACAATTTTATTGTTCAAAATGGTAAAACCAAGGCAATTTTTTTTCAATCACTGAACAATGAAATGATAATGGAAAATCCAAAGGACTGAGAAGTCAGTCTACACATCAGCAAACTACAAATGCTTAATAAAAGGTATTAAATGACCAGTCAAGTACATCTCTAATCTGGCAATCAACACTAGTGACCAGATCATGTACTATGGGCATTTGAAATACTTTGTCAGGTTAACTAGCCAGCAGACTTACTTATTACAGCACTACAAATAGGATAAGCTGTTCCAACAGAGACAGCCTTAATATCACAGGCATATTCCTGTGATAAGCAGATTTTCAGATTTCAATCATGTATTTATAACTCAGTGTGGTGGTGTGCTAACTTAGATGTAAATAGTCAATCTACAAAATTATTGATTTTTTTTTATATATATAGTAAGAAATCCTAATTAGCATAACAGGCATAAATGCTTATTTTTTGACTGTTAGGAATAAATTCAGAATGTTCCTCCATCTCTTGCTGACTGTGGAATGATTTTAACACAAATACGCATGGCTGATCTCTCATCAGGAACAGAATCACAGTCTGAATCCCTGTGTCTGTCTTTGCATTGTTGCTACAAATGTAACTGATGAAGTACAAAACCCATATGTCAATTTTTAACCAGTCAATTCCTCCTTTGGTTTTGCTTTAGATGAATAAAAATATTTAGTAAACATATTCATTAGCATCTGAAGAAACAAGTCTTCTGGCTCAGGGATTTGTCAGACCCTAAAACAACTGTAGTATAAACTTAATTCCTGGAAATGAACGTGCAGTACTTCAGGCACTGAAGACTAAAAATTAAATGCTATGTGGTAAAAACACTGAGATGAGGCATGAGCTGAGTTTAAGATCGACTCAGCATAGCTTACAATAGGAAGTAAGAAGCCATGTTTTCTCTTAAGCAAAGGAAACTTCTGAAACTGCCAAAAAATCAAGCACTACACTTAGAGAATGACATTCAAATAGCGTAACATCACTGGATAGTTACGTATATGCAGCCCAGAACTTCCATGTACAGTTGGCAGTGATTGTTTAGCTAAGGCTGTTAGAAGACAACATGAAGTTATGTAATCCTCCTCAATAAATTTCACACTAATGAGAATTTCTGTTACGGTAATAAGCAATTTGCATGTTACTCAAATTCTGTTCACTTTTTCGATAGCGTACTGTGGCTTGCTTCTTAGTCCCTGGTAAAGGGCTGTAAAAGAGCATTTAAAAAAAAAAAAAAAAAGACTGTTCTTTGTACTCTCCTTCCCCAGGACGCACTAAATGAATTACCTATAGAGCACAGTCAAATAATCCTAGTCCAGTTTTATAGCCCTCTCCCACATTCCATACCCACGTTAACAAACGTGAGGTTTTATCTCTGTCCTACCTCTCTGATTACACTTATTTTTTTTTTCCTCAGAATTAACATTTCATACTAACTTAAGAGGTTAGACTAAGTTACTTCCACACAATTCAGGATGATCTCTCAACTTCTTAGTATTAAAACATGCAAAGTTAATTATGAAGTTATAAACCACAGAAATTACATTAAGCAGTTAAAAACCACACAAAAAACCCACTGCACAGTTACATACCAGTTGTTCCTGTAGGAGAATATGCAGTACTTACGAAAAGGTAACAGATGACATCAGTGTTAATACGAAAATGTACTGCTCTTGGGATAGCCAAGTTTGTCCAGGTTGGGCTGACACGCAAATTGAATCATAGGTGGTGGCCCACACATGAGAATGAGTGTCTCACTGCTGGGGGAAGGGAGGTGGGTTTTAATCATGTCTGCAGTGACGAAGCCAGAACTGTACTTCCAATCTGAAACAAAGAAATTAAACTATTAATTTGAATCTCTGTACAATCTGAAGCCTTTTTAAACTGCATACATGGTACCCACAAAGTAGCTGAAGAATCAGCAAAGTTATGCCACCATCACTGCAAGCCACGAGAGGGTTAAATCTCTCACTGAAATCAAACATGTCCCCTTCGATAGGGACAACAAGCATGTGGATAACGAGGATCTGGTTGATAAGACATGAATGTCTGTGAATAAATGATATAGATTTAAAAGAATTTAGACAGCAGGTAGGAATAAATAGGAAGAGTAAATCAGCTTTTCCAGTGAAGAGAGGTCACCCAGGGGCAGCTGTGCAGGGAGAGGTATTGAGATCTGTGCCATCCAACACATTTAAAAAAAAAAAAAAAAAACCAAACACAAAACCACACAGAAAAGAGATTGAGTGGTGAGGTGACAAAGTTTGATGATGACAAAAGTTCTGCTGTGTTGTTAAGTGATGAGAGAAAAAAAAAATTAAAAAGAGGAAAGATGCTAAATGATTTCAAGCAGTAATATTATTGAATGCATCTGCCATTTAAAGTGAGCCAAGTAGGAAAAATAATCCTGCCTTCGCATATAAAAATAGGCGCTTTAAGCTCATTTATCAGGAGCAAGATATTGGGGCTATGAAAACAGCAGCAGTCAAAAGGCATATGAAATGTTAAGAAGTATTAGGAAAGGAAAAGGGAACACCACGTCAAATTAGAAATACAGAGTTTGCCTGCATCTTGACTACTGCTGTTCACTTCTGACCTGCTCAGCTCAAAAAGGGACATAGCAGAGCTGGAAAAGGTTGAGAGAACAAGGATGAGCAAAGGTATCTAATCACTGCTATATGGGGAAGACCAGCAATCTTCAGTATAGAAGAGATGGGGCAGCAGGGGTGATCGATAGATGTCTGTAACATTAGTAACATGAAGACCTATTCACACACTCTCCAACACAAGAATTAAGAGGCAAATGCGAACCGGAGGAAGCCATTCTTCACACAAAAGTGCTAATCCTATGGAACCACTATCAGACTGCCAAAAAGCTCACACAGGCTCCAAGGGATACACAGTAAGTTCATACAAAAGTAATCCACTGAGGGTTACTGTATCTATAGAGACACATTTGGCTCAGAACTGAGAAATATTAAAGACTGGAAGAGTATCAAGGCCTGCTCATTACTCTTCTCTGGCCATCTACTCATGGCTATAGGTGACAACAGGTACAGAACTTTGATCTGACTCAGTTTGGCTCTTGTGTCTGTTAAATAAAAGCTCAGATCACTTACAACATCAGTGAATATGAATACCCAAGTTTCAAAGGAGATTCAGTGGAGTTCAACCTCTCCCTCCGTTTCTAATTCAGTGCTACACCAGCCTACAGTTAATGCCTTAATCTATACACATGGCAGCTCTGCTTTACCAGAATCTAATCTACAGCTGCTGCAAAACAAAGATGTGCATGTTCTATTTACAGGTATTAAGCAATTTAATGCTAACATAACCTGACTCGGGAGATAGCCCAAAACAGAGCTGTAACTTTTGCTGAAAAGTCCAAGAAACTGGCACACCCTGAAATACATCAAAAGATCCACTGAGTAACGTGTCTCACCCAACAGGAGTTAATTATTGGTTCACACTTTCTAAGGCCCACCTGGCTTGGAACACTTTTCAAAACAGGTGGTGTGGTAACACTTGTTTCTGAGGTCTCGGGGGGGTGTCTTTGCTGTTTAAAATAGCGTAAGACAGCAAGACTTGATATTATACTAATGGCCCCTTGAACAAGAGTGAAGCTCTGATTGGTGACGAGCAAAGGCATTTCCAGTGCGTACCAGTAGCCTACCTTGGGGAGGTCTGTCCAGTGTATACCAAAGCGTGAACTGATCAGGATGCCTCTTAGCAATGTCTTCTAGCTCAGCTCTCAGTAATATATCTTTTTCTGTCTGCAAAATGAGACCGCTGTTTAGCTCCAGACCATCTCAAGATGCCCTCTAATGTGAGCTCATCTGGCATTCAACAAGACAAATGCAATAACTCATTCAAACCAAGAAAGTGACTTTCCCTCCCCCCCTTACATGATAGGCTATTATCATTACAGGCTTCTGTAAATTCAAATTAAGAACAACAAACTATGAGACTGAATAGCCACCTAAACGCTGTCTTAAAGATGGCAATTTGAACAACTTTTTAATCCAGGCTAATATCACAGTTAGCTGGATTTGTCTCTGACCCTGGCAAATACAGCCCTGTACCAGCATGGTGAAGGTTAACTGTAGAAACAGATTAACGGAACAAAATCCTGTTTCCTTGAAATCAGTGAAGGAATAAAATGAGTAGAGGGATAAGGATCTGTTCACGCTAATTATTCCCTAATATAGGAATTAGGGAATGTAAGTGAAACTATGAGGAGCCATCTTCAAAACAAAAGATCATGGGAACTATGACAGCACCACGCAGTATTTATAAAGGGCCTTATGGCTAATTTTTTTTATTCAGTTTCTCCTTCTTAAATCATTTTAACGCAAGACAATAGGTTAAGAACTAAGGATCTGTTCACGCTAATTATTCCCTAATATAGGAATTAGGGAATGTAAGTGAAAGTGTGAGTATGCGTCTTCATCTTCAAAGCTCATGGTCACTATGACAGCACCACGCAGTATTTATAAAGGGCCTTATGGCTAATTTTTTTTATTCAGTTTCTCCTTCTTAAATCATTTTAACGCAAGACAATAGGTTAAGAACTTACATAATAACCATTTCCTGCTCCTCCCTATACTGATCATTTTTAAATGTGCTATCTCAGATAATATTTTCTCATAAATGGTTGGGTGAAAATACAAACCCAAAGACAATGGAAGAGTATGAAACATGCAGAGCAGTATTTTCTCCAGGGCTCAATGTCCCATCAGTTTAAAAAGCTCAGAGGCCAGCAAAAAAAGTGGGCCATTAAAGAAGAAAAACAGATGAGTCAGTATAGTCACCTGATTAGCAAAAAGAAGGTAACATTTGGTGGAGTCCTTAGGATCATTTGTGATATGACGGATCAGCTGCAACATAGGAGTTATTCCTGTTAAAAAACAAAGCGGTTAAGAAATGGGTATTTCTTTCAAGCCACATAAGGCTGCAGTTTCAATATTAATGCCGCCTTCCTTCAGTCTTCAGTAGGAGCTTAGTTTGCACAGGGCTACATACCTCTGAATTTCTAATCCACGCCAAATGCAGAGGCTGGGGGTTTCTATTATTACAAATCATTTCAAAACAAAAACAAAACCACAATACTTGTATCTGGGGCTTTCCTCTTCAGCATTCTCTACCACATACAGTAATTTTACCCTCAAGACATTCTCCTAAAATATTTTTTGCCATTGAGACTGAAGCTCAGAGAGATGAAGTGACTCCTCTGAGGTCACACAGTAAATCAAGACTAAGACTCTGAAGTTGCTAGCTCCCAGGACTGAGCTCAAGCCACTGGAAAGCCTCAGTGCCACCAAACACTCATGAAAAGGAACACAGGTGGAAGTGCTCTGCTATTAAAGCACAACATTTGATACTCCTCACACGCATCCATAAAGACGTCTTCGTTCTCTAGACATTCCATATGATGAGAATAGTTTTACCTGTTCCTCCAGCTATCATCCCAAGATGCTTTGCAAACTTTTTCTCTGCTTCAGACTTCTTATGAGGCTTGATAAGAAAGGTACCTAGAAGAAATATTCAAAACCTATAGGTACATTAACTCCTAAACAAACATGGATACAACTTCCATAGGAATAAACTGCTACAGCCTACCAATTAATTGGGACTGATCTTCTGGAAATGCTAAATGGACTCAGCACAGCATTGAGCATGAAGAGTAGAAACCTCTTTGTAAACTCCAACCCTAGCTTTGAACAACTGATTTACTCCTTCCCTACTACCCAACATAATTTATAATAAACTCAAGGATTCCCACATCACTGCCTAGAACACAACTTGGCAGCTGTGAATGTTAGTGGCAGCTAAAGGTAACCACAGCCTACAGAGAAGCAGGTTTCTTAGGCCATCTTCATCATCCTCACTTGCACCATGGATCTAGCCATTTGTGTGTGTCCACATTCAATGGAGTTGTATTAAACCAGCATCAAGCAAAAACCCCTGCAAAGATTAGAATCAGGAATGTTGGAGCCTTGCATACTTTTATCATCAAGCACTTTATTATTGTAATTCATTTCCAGTTAATGAGATCCCCATGACACTCACAGTCAGCTAGGTGACTACGTTCTGGTATCCTGTGATGAGAAGACCTTGCTGATTTCTGCTCCACACCTGGGTATACCATTGCTTCAGAACTGTCACAAAACGGGACAGTTTGTATTTGAATTAATCTCCAAGGACCAAGCCAAGTGAAAAGCCCATGAAAAGTATTACACGAAAAGCACTTGACATATTCCAATCATCTTTTAAGAGATCTGTAACTAGTAACAAGCTTTCCTAGCTACTACTCTTTATAGCAGCCAAAGCAGAGCAGAAAGGAACGTTTGTAAAACATGCACCACTCATTTCCTCTGAGATATAACGGATTCATCAGTATATTACTCATCAGAAAAGGTCATGATCCAGAGAAGCGCTGAGCTCTCATCCCCCTGAAGTAGGAGTTAAGTGCACGGTCCCTCTCAGTCAAAATCAAAGCAAAATCTTTCACTTCCATCTTGAAAGAGGATTACTTCTCTAAACTTACTTCCTCCCAGTCAACTCAGACCTGGTTTAATCATGAAATAGAGCTGGCTCACAGCGGGTTATTTAGTAACAACACTGAGATTCTCAGAGGGCATTTTAGGCCACAGCCTCCCTTGCTGAAGCAGCATCTGGAACATCTCTCTCCATATTGAGAGAGAAGGTACTATTTCCAGTGCAGCCTTCTCAGTAATACAATGCAACAGCGATTTTTTTCAGATTTAATTATATGGTCCCAGGAGTGAGACAACAACCAGCTATTCCTCACACAAAGTAGACACAAAGTACTCTTTCCCATCATAACAACCCTGACGGGCCCTTGGTCAAGACCAGGAAAGGTGGATTTTCTCTTTTCCACTTTCTAAAAAAGATTCTCCACAAAGTTGTCAAGTTTTATAAAACACCTCTGAAAATAACCAATACAAGTTCCTCCCTTTTGCTCTCCCACCTTCAGGTCACAGTACCTGCCCCCTTATAGACAAGGAGCCCGTTTGGCCCTCTGAAGTCAATAATATCTCCAACCTTCATGTCATCTAGGTACTGGGACATCTTCCCACCTTCTGGAAACTTGGGATTCACATTTTTGTGGTAGACCTGTAAAACAGTAATTTGTATGATATCAACCACTAGCTTGCCTGCAGACAATATTACAAATTGTAGAACGCAGTACTGCAGGTCTGAAACTTAGCGTCTGAGAAAGAATTGAGACAATTCTTTGCTCTCAGTTACCTGTTGTGCCTTGCAACAGGAAGCAGCCCAAGTAAGTAAAATGCTCTCTCATGCACATGTTCCTATGCTCTCTGCAAACAGCCAGCCTAACAGGAATAGGTGGCACACAGATTACGTACTGGTGCCCTCATTTCACTATCACTCCAGCAAGGCCCCTATGTTGCCCCATTTTTGTAATTGCTCATTCTGAAAATAGCATTGCTGCATCTTTTCTTTTTAAGACTTTCCCAGAAACTCCAGCCACATGATAACTTTTTCACCTTTCAAAGCACATAATAAGTATTAAGTAGTTAATAACAATTCACCATACTTGTAACATGAAGAACAGAGCGCACAAAAGAAGCCCAGATTTTTGCCTAAGGACAAACTTTATTGTAGAAAAGGATTAGAAAACCCAGAAGTCATGGGATCAAATCAGACTGCATTCCCTAGCTTAAAGGATTTCCCTTATTTCTGCATCCCATTTCCTTAATCAATAAACCCATCAGCACAACTTCTGACGCTTACAGACGTATAATTGCAATCTCTGTAGGGTCACCAAAGATAGCAGTTCTTATTGACTTGTTTTCTACTTACAGCTATTAGCGGTAAGTACTAGTAGCAGCATAAGCAGCTTGAGGGAAAAGTGATCACTATTCGTGCGTTGCCAAAAGAAGAGAATACTAGGGAAGTTCCTGCAGTACTGCCAAAGAAGTGATTCCCTTCTCCATCTTCCCTACCTCTGCTATCTCCCAGTGACATACAGCAGATACACAGAATACAACTTACTATTCAAGGATAATGTGAAGTGAGTTGTTTGCCATACAGTCATCCTATTCAAAAGATCAATCAAAATAAACTCTACATTTCACTAAAATGAAGTACTTTCCTTCCTTCCAGTTAGCAATTTATCTGTATTAAAGGAAACAACATTTACCTTTATAATTAAATCAACATAACCTTTTGTCTCATCACTGGAAACTGGGGTATAGGCTCGAATCACCAGATTACCATTGATTTTTGCAGAAAGGTAAACGTGTTGGCCTGGGGAGAAAGAATTACAATCTGATTATTTATTTTTTCATCCCTGGTTTCAACATTTTCTCAGGCCTGGAGGACAAGACAAGAGAGAAAAGCAGGTATTGTAACCCGTTAAACACAAGCAATGATAGAGAAAATCTTTACCATATAAAATGCTGCATAAAACATCTAGCCTCTTTTCTTTTGTTAGCAAGAGTTTCTGGAGCACAGGGTAACTGAGGAGAGCTGGTACGTTACAGAATCAAGGGTAAGATACCAGGAAAGTAGGAAATTTATAGTAAAATAGTGATATAGAAAGTTTGTTGCTCATTTTCAAATGCTGTCTATATTTTGGGTTCTGCCGTTCTCATGTTCATTAACAAAGTGAAAATAAGGATGCACCAGTTCACATAGGCAAAGAAAGAAATAAGTATTATGGCTTAATAGCAGCAATCTCTCAGAGCAAACTTCCCAGAGATTCTGCACCAAGACATCAAGAACAAAGCCTTGGGCCATATTCCTTCTCCATAACTCCTGCCTCTGTAACGCTGCAGCTTCCACAGCATTGGACACTGCTGTCCACAGAGAGCTCTTTGTCCAACCGAATGCTCCGAGAGGCAGACTTTCTAAAAGGCACCTGTTTCTTTCTGCTGATTAAAAGAACTGAAACTCCTTGCCAAGAGCGGTCTCCTCAGCCAGACAGCACTAATCTAGAGAGTTGTATGGAAAAACAAAAAGCAGGAACAGTGCTGACAGAAAACACTTTATTTTTAGCAAAATGATCTTGGTAAAAAGCAGAAGGCAGGAATCTCCCAGGAAGTAATCTGGCCCGCGCAGTTTCAGGATCTTATTCCTAAATTCTTAAGAATAAAGTTTGGATAAACACAAGCACTGCAGGGCACATCTCAATTCATTCATCATTTGTCTAGCTGATGTGGACAGCTCAATTACACTTTCCCATACAAGCCAGAAGAGAACGTGGAGAAATACTGCTGCCCTTGACAGGCAGCACACAAGAAGGATGTGCTCACAGCATGGAATGGGAAAGACCCTGACACTTGCCATACAGCAAGGGAAACTGCAAAACATAGTACAGCACAAACAGGGCTACATCTGCCACATCTGCTGATCAGAAAGGGAGACTTTCCCCTGCATCGATTACCATTAATTCAAGGTCCAAGGTTCAATGCCATCAGTTTTGCAGGGTACAGGAAAGAAGACTGTGCCAATCCTAGTCTGAAATGAACTTCATGCTACAGAAAGCAAGACAAAGTTGTACACATATGTGTGTAAATCAAAGGTAAGTGCATACACAGAAAAGGCTCTGAATATTTCAACATCTTCTATATACATAGAAAATGTATTGTATTTTCCCCTTTGTTCTGCAAAGAATAGTTACAAGCTTCCCAGGCAGAAGAGTCGTTCTTTCTCATCTACAAGTGTGACTGTATTCGTCAAAATCATGAGGGCAGTTGACAATAAACTGAGGGCACCAGATGGAAGTAGAATGCAAATAAGAAACACGAAAAAGCTTTCACAGATACCATTCTTGCCTATATCCTGACTGGTGGTGAATGTCAGCTGACTCAGTTCAGTTTCACTGTTCTTGTTCTAAACTACAATTTAACACAAGCAGAACAAAGCACACACAAAAGATCAGAAATACAACCCTTTGGAAAATCTGACATTTCTCTCTGACACAGCAGCATTCAGATGCAGCTTTTAACTCCTTGCTTTGCTGAGCATTAAATTCCCAAACAGTCAGAAGTCCAAGAACTATGAGTACAGTTACAAATCCTAAAAACAGAAACACATATAATGAAGTGTTTTCAGCACTTACCTACAGGTAATCCTAATATATGATCTGGTGAAGGTAGCCCAAACCGGAATTTCTTAGTATCGTGACTGATTTCCTAAAAACCCAAACAAATAATATCAGAATGAGGTCCACATCACCCCTGCTTTAAATTTCAAGCTCTACTCAATACGATATGCTTTAGTAAGCCTGTTCTTTGTTAGCATGCAAGCCAAATCCTAGGAAGGGAAGCAGAAATGGCTTTGAAAAATAAAGTTTAAACAGATCGTAAGTTTTGGAACCAAAGTCTTTTTCCTCTTTATTTCCACAAAGAGTGACTTTTGCCTGTCTGCACAATCCCTACAGCACCTTTACATAAAGAAAATCTGGAAACCTCTGTTGCCCAAGGCCAGTGAGCACATTTCATAATTTTTGGCCAAAGATAAGGCAAGACACGACATGCAGAAGCACAGGCTGTTGGGGTTACTTCTCGCTGAAGCACCTTGGACAAAAATCAAAGGAGAAACACAGCTCTAAACTAGGAATTAAACATACAAAGAAACGAGTCTACCCTCCTCTTGAAACAACCGCAAAGCCATAGTGTAGGCACAAATACCTTTAAGAATCCTGTTCTACCCTAGGGAAACACTGCAGCCTGGC